AGTCTTGATTTGATCTGTTAGAGAATGAGTTTTTATAGTTGATCTGTGTTGCACCAGTACATTTTGGACTTACTTCATACTTCAATTACTTATACAACAGTTTAAGAATAAATCTTAAAACTCGAGTTAATTTTTAATATGGCAATCTATGAATGATTGTGTCACGCTGGCCGTGAGCGGTGCAAGAGGGCGATATACAATATGAACACGACCGAATATCACGCCGTTTCCGTATCTCATGTCTGGACAAGTTCGCGCAAGAAATATTGTTGACCATTGGTTAACCATAGTTCGACTAAAGTTAGCCTGAACTCTGTCTAGTCAACGATGGCTGACTACGCTAGTCGACTATTTGGAACCAGCCTATCGGGGCTGGTTACATCGATGGTAACCAATAGCCGCGCGCATTCATAACGTACAGCAGGAGCCAGGAGCCAGAAGTTTTGCGATGACATTATTTTGACCAGTCGCACGTTGCTATTAGTGCGCAGGCGTAAGGTACGCCACAAAGTAACCACCAGTCGACTAATGGTCCTTGCCCGAACTTGGCCAGCTGCAGCTTGTTTAATTAAATTGTACATGATATGCTGACGAAACATGTACGGCCTGTCTGCCCGTTTCGGAGACAGCATAATTTTTATGAGCACCGAGTTCGGGCACGAACCATAACTGGACTAACTTAACTCGAACGCAGGATGCTTAGACTACTCTAGTCCACTATTTGGAACTAGACAACGGGGCACGTTTCCATCGCTGCTTGCCAACAACCGCGCCCATCATAAAGCACAAAGGGAGCCAGGACTAAGACGTCAGTGCGCAGACGTAAGTTACGTCACAAATCAACTACTAGTCGACCAGTGGTTCTCGCCCGAACTTGCTCTGATAAACATAAGACATAAAACAGGCTTTGTTTTACATGTGCACTTTCCAAGGAGCCTGGCTTCCATAAAAAAAACACACGCACGCTTGGCAATGACAAAATAAGTCTGAATCTTACCGTTTTGTGGTGCGTTTGTAACATTCACTCATTTGCAAATTCTGTGTGTGTCCATTTCTTGGCTCCGTCAGCTTTGCCTACAAAAGACGCAACTGTCTTTTTTTCCCCGCAGGGCCGAGAAATGACAACTTGCTCGAAAAAAAAAATCCATTTCGTGGAGTGGCGGGTGGATCGCAGGCTTTTATACCGAGAGTTTCCTTATCATGTGTGCCCGTCCTGATAAATCCCGGGGGCGTCTGTTGGTTGGAAACAGAATTGACATTTTTGGTATTATAACAATTTCGGGTTTCTCAAGATCACATTGAGATATGAAACCTTTAAAAAATAAATAAATAAATTTCGGGTTTGAAGGGTGAGGTCCCCTCCATTGTTATTGGGAGGGGTTGGGGGTTGGGGAGGGGTTCTTATTTCTTCACTCATTGAAGTGTTCATATTTTTGAGAATTGTTTTTTGCATTTTATCCTAAATCTAAAGATAGTACATGTATCATCAAATTATAACCACAAAGGGAAACTTGCGCGGTATACTTAAAGATAAACTCAATATTAGCTTATTATTAAGAACATAATTTGTTTGAAATGAGATTATAACTGCGACATGGAGTTACTTTATTAAGGGCGGAATTTTTTTGGGGGGGCCCCCAAAAAATTGGTCCCCCAAAAAGTGGGTCAAAAATTACGGGGTGGGGTTCGGGGCCCAATAGGGCCCCGACATTTTTTGGGATTCTAAATGCTCTGTGGTGCGATCTGAGGCAATTTCTGACCACCAAGTTTTTGGGAGGAAAAGATGGTGGTGTGCGCAGTGCCTGCCTTTATAGTGACGTCACTAAAAATGGGTTCTTTTTTTTGGGGGGGGGGGGCATGGCCCCCGTTGCCCCCCCCCCCCCGGATCCGCCCTTGTACTTTATTAGGAAACACAGACTGGGATCTGTCATGCCTGGAGTGCTCTTAAACGTGCAAAACTAAATCAAGCCAACTTTACTCACTCTATATAGCCAGCAAATTTCTCCAAAAATTATATTGGGCAAAGAAAAGGTCCTCAATATTTTCAACAACCAAGTTTGCAGACTCAATTCACTTTTTAAAGGAGACATTTCTTCAATATTTTGCACATGAGAGGGAAGTCGAGTGATTTCAAAATGAGGCTAAAGACTAGACTGGTACATGTCCAACCATTGTCCAACTATTTGAAAAGAATGACCTCTTCATTTAGTGTAATTAGTCTGGTGACCGACTATGGAGAAATGTGTAGTAAATAGAGACTAGTTCCCGGTTCATGCCACGTTTCTTTTGGCGCAGTTGATTGATGCAGTACTGAAGGGGTGTTGGACTGGTTGTTTCATGTGCCAGTCTATTTTCTTGTATTGCATGTTTTCAATACCTTAAGTTTTGGGACTCTCATACACAGCATTGACAGTCCCAAATATTCGGACTAGAGAAAACATACATTTACAGCGTCTAAAAAGCTCCTTTGGCATATGACGTGTATAAGAAATGCACGGGATTCTCATTAAACAACATGTTCATTCCAAGTCTGTATCATTATCATTTGTATATGTAATGAATTTGGGTTACCGTTCAATCAGTACTTTAGAGAACATTACCTGCTTATCATCCATGAAAAATGATGGCTCGTCCTTTGTCCCGCTTCATTATTTCGGTGATACAAAACACACCTCTAGATTCACCGCACCCGAATCACTCGTCTCCTGCTGGTGTTATATGAAATTTGGACTCGGTTTCGTTTACCGTATGTGGGCTCAAACCCTCACATGTGACTGTCACTGTTCTATATAATCTTCACTGAAGCATGCGCAATACAGCCAATTAGTCTGTATTTCGTAGAGTCCGAATTTCACACTATAATCGGCACTCAAAGTGGATTCAACTCATTCCCAAAGGGCACGCGTAATTGCAAACCGTTGTCAATTACTTCGAAAGCCGCACGCACCTGAACATTCACAACTGAATGCGCAGGTTCCATTGACAATGTTCCGCACGTTCCTTCCATAAGTCGAATTCTATCAGACAATAGCCGAATGATCGCAATAAAGAAGGTGTCATAGAAATGGGAGTATGGGCAATACCGTAACTCATTCCTTCCTCCACGGTTCAACTACGGATCCTACACACAAGGATTAACGACTCAGCCAAACTCAGCTGGGCCCAATTTCATGGCGCTGCTAAGCACAAAAAATTGCTTAGAACAAAAATTTGCTTAGCGCAAAATAAGTCTGGCTTATAAAAGCAGGCTACCAGCCAAATCTCCATGTGATATTCATGCTAAGCAAACAACAGCTGAATACTAATCACGAGCATTGTACATCATAGGGAGTTTTGGCTGGTAACCTGCTTTTTTATAAGCCAGACTTTTTTGTGCTAAGCAAATTTGTGTGCTTAGCAGCGCCGTGAAATTGGCGGCTTTCAAATTCGCAGGGCTCTGCGCTCGATCTGGTATCGACTTTTGTGAAGCCAGCTTATAATATTTTTGAATATTCGTGATCCTACGCTTTGGGCCTTTATTATGAAATTTAGATAACCATGTAAACGCCGAGCACAATATCTTTAGCTTTAAAATGACCTATGAAATGTTGCATTTGTTTTATCGGTTCGGGACCACATCTTACTTGGGTAAACGGTGTTCTCCTCGAAAAAGGTGTCACATTTGACGTTCCTTTCCCAAATAAATACTTCATCTACGACGACAAAAACCGCACAGTACCATCCGTTATATCCTCAACAATTTTTAACAATTTTGGAAGAATTGTCTTACACATAAGGAGTGGTCTTGCTTAAAGTTTTATGAATATTTCCGTTTTAGATGTCACACACAAAAAACAACATGCCAACGGGTATTAACCTTAAGGCCCGTTATACCACGCGTCCAACAAATTATTAGAAAGTCAGTTCAGTGCATTTTGTACCATACTAGAGCTCAGAACAGTCGTTCATCCTCGTCTGTAGGATCCGTGGTTCAACATTTCTCTGTGGTATGGTGATTTGTTGGGATGGTGGAAGGCGTTCTGGTTTATCAGATCGTAACAAAAGACGGAATTTACGACCTATTGTTCTGGGATTCTCTTTGCTAGCTGAAATGCGATCTTTTGTATGAGGCATTCGATTAAGGGAAGCAGTTTTTTTTATAGCAACATTGAATATGCATCTTTGTGCCCATTTCACTTTATTTTCAATGTTTGTTTGCTATTTTCAAGGTATTTTGTGCCTTTGTGGTTTTTAGGCTAATGCGAATTTCCATATTCATGAGCAAATGTGTGCTACATCTTACGAACCTAAACGCCTATTCGCGTCTGGATACACAGCACTGCGTCGTCTCCATCGCGCAAAGAATTCAGCCAACAGAGACAGAAAAATGCATTGTCTTAATTTCATGATAAAAATGTTCTCTTTAATTACCGGCAATCAAAATAAAAAAAAATCACAGACTCTCTTTCATTCACTGAAATATAGACGTAGAATGTAATGGTAGAGCATAAAACTTGGTCTTTACTACATCAATTAATGTAGCAATAATATTACGTTTTGTATTTAACTTTATTATTAAGAGGTTAAGTTTCTTTAGAAGTTACAAAAATATACAGAAGATGAGCGAAAGCGCAAAATAAAATATATCTACAGAAATTATTATAATGCCAATTTATACAATCATTCTTAACATACATTTCAAACTTTAAAATAGTCTTCAGGCAGCAAGTATTTACGAAGGAAAAAGAAAAGAAATGAAATGCAGAACAAAATTTATTGTCTTTAATGGTGAAACCGCAACGCACTCTCAAACACTTTTCATCCTTTTTACACCCTTCAAAAAGAACACCCTACAAAAGCAGACACAAAATTTGCTTGAACAAAAGGAACAATCAAACACTTCACTAATTCACTCCACACACCACACATATTCCTCATTCACACACACACACAAACCAGCACGTTTTGTTTTATGGTGTAAATCGAGGATTTTCTTTTGTTCCTCTTCCCTTTTCCTTTGTTTGTACTTTTACTTTTTCGCAACAGCTCTCATTGGTTTTGTACACGTTTTTCAACCGAGGAGTCCTCGATTCGGTTTCTATCCTCGATTCATCAATGATGTTGCACGTGTGTCCTCGATTTACACCGTGAACAAACGCGAAAACACACTCTGTCACTCACATCACTATCCCTGGACCCAAATTTACTGAATCTTCTATTAATTAGCTGCTCAGAAATATAACGTAAAAGTTCTTGCATTTATATGAACACTTAAATATCTTTGTTTAAATGGCACTTAAAAACATTCTATTTTTTTCTTGAGCATTTCAATTGCAAGACACTTATACAACACACAGTCCTCCAACTTAAAAATTATTTTCCAGAAAAAGAAAGTTCAAAAGACTCCTCTTCCAACGGTAATCAATTTAAGCATACAACCATTTCAATAATTGCTTTGTTTACATTTCAGGACGATTGGTTTGAATCAGATGCAATGAAATCAACAACATCTTGCAGCTATAAGAATCGTGTCGGGCACTGACAGTTTTCTATTTGAAGACATAACCAGAATAACTGGCTGAAGTCTGCATGAAATATGTTTTCCACTTACAAGGCCGCATTTCAAACGAGCTCTATTCACAGCTCAACTCGAGACAATACCATTGTCATAAATTGAACAGAGCACTTCAATTTAAAGGGATAGTTTGCAGACAAAAGAGAAATGTCTCAGAAATGATTAGCACCGACCCAAGAGGCTCATATTCAGAAGCACTACTTAAAAGTTCTTTCAAAATAATAACATTAATATTTGAAATGAACACTGTGACAAGAGAGGCAGAATATACAGAAACAAACACTGCAGATTAACGCAACATGGTGTAATCTAATGGAGGTTCAGAATAAATGAGACTAAATGTAACTTTTAAATTCAGTTATGTGTAACTACTATCAAAAGTACTATTATATTTCCACTAATAAGATCATGATAACATACTGCCAAACGGCAAGTTTTGTCTTAAGTATTTTTCACACCTGTGGCATTGACATATCAATTTTCACTGTGAGTCTACCAAAAAACAGGTGGTGACCCAAAGTTATATATTTTTGGAAAATATAACGGATATCACACAAATATAACGGATATCACACAAATATAACGGATATCACACAAATATAAAATTGGCTATTAGTATGTGTCCATGTGCTTGAAATGATTTGACCTGAACGAAGTCGTTGTAGTGGAATTTCAAAGTTTGTCTTAGTAAGCCTACACTAGTTGAACAGAACTTGTTCTAAATTGGAGTGTGAGGTCAGATTCGTAATACTCATTAGCATGGAAATATTTGACTGAACTCGTGCTAGGCTCAGGTGCTTAGTGAGACAGTAATTGTTTCGGATATGAGTAGAATGTGAGATTCGGCTTAAGTTAGTGCACACTGGATGAAGCCAACATGTTCTTGATGCACTGTATCACGTCTCGCAGTCTCTCTTCGTCTTCACTCAGAGCATCCTCATCAACTGGCACAGAGCTCTCGTCTTGGGAAGCTCGAGGCAAGAGCAGATTGGCATGCCATTCCGATTCAGTCGGCTGTGAAGAGATTGTAAGAGAGAATTGAAGAAAGTGAAGCGATAGAAAGGTAGAGTAATTTAGAAGAGTTTCACTTAAAAACAGAGTTCACAAGGTGATTAAGTGTTGTTGATGCAGCATCTTGATCATGATTAGGCATTACTGTCTTTCCACCAGTGTGGTAGTTAAGTCCATCTCAAGTCCTCACGTCAATCACAAGTCCATCACAAGCTATTCAAATGAACGGAGACAAAGGCATACTATTGTTCATACCCTGTTAGTGGGGCAGATAGGGAAATATTTGGAGGAATTGTACCTTTGATGATACGAGAATGCAAGGGCGGATCCAGGGGGGGCCCAACGGGGCCATGCCCCCCCCCCCCTCCTTAAAACGAACCCAATTTTTTTAAAGTGACGCTGCAATAAAGGCAGGCACTGCGTACACCACCATCTTTTCCTCAAAAAGATTTGGTTAAAGTGGTCAGAAATTGCCTCAGATCGCACCACAGAGCATCTAGAATCCAAAAAATTCTCGGGTAAAAACCCTGATAACACAAGTTTGCAGGTACAACACGGAATATCTCTTCTGTCAGGGAAGGCGGACAGAGAACACTGTGAGAGCAATTCTTACCTCTATTTCTTTTCAAAACCACAGTTCTTCACAAAACACATATTTCATGGTGTAACCCCAAACCTATCAGTTATTGTACCTTTTCTGTTCACCAGGGAAATCTTATAATCACAATAATTATAACACAAGCGTAAAACAAAACAATTGAAAATTTTATTAGGGTTTTCCCTGATATTTCCCGTAGAAATTTCCAATATTTCAAGAGAAATGTTTTCACCTTAACAAGGTTGCTGTGAAGTCAAGAGGTGGTGTAGCACAGCTAATTGTTATTGTCTGGAGAGATGTGTAATATTCACACTGCATAAACACTAAAAAGCCACCATAGTCAGTGGACACAACTTTGACACATGGCACAAGACGCACATCCATCAAAATCAGAAAAAAAACGTTCCCTTCTGTGTCACTTTCAAATTCACTGAGTTTTCCCTGATTTTTGGTGTTTTTCCTAAATTCCTTTACACACTGGAAAAATAGAAACTCATTTTGGAGGTTTTTCCTGATTTTCGAAGTGACTGGGAACCCTGTTTATAGTAAAGAAACTGATGCAAAGAAGAATTGTTCATCCCAAACCTCTTTTTCCAAGACCACCGCGTCCTCCACCTTGCCTGCAAGGCACAGACCTCTCCCATGTAGCACCTTCAACGCCGCCCTCAGGTCCACCTCGATTGACCTCACGTCATCACCGGAGAGATTCACGGCCGGACCGTCGTCCTCGTAGAGAAGCATGGAGAGGAGGAAGCGGCCACACGAGGGCGCCTTCCTCCTGGTGGGGGGCGTGTGTGTGGGCGTCATGACTGTTGAATGAGAAGTTAAAGGGCCTCTTTTGATTATGCTAATTTGGTTCAGAATATTCTTTCAGCCAGCAATGTTTATTAGTAAGTTAAGTGATATCTGTCCCCCACCCCCACCCCAAAAAAAAAAAAACCCAGCAAAAATAAAAAAAACATAAAAATGTAAGCAATAAATAGGATAAAAAGAAATTGTTTAAAAATTGTTTAAACTTTTTTTCAGAGTTTTGATTTTTTATGATAAAAGTTTGAAAGTATACAGTAATTAAATTAAGTAGTTAAAAAAAAAAATATATACGGCATGTACAACTTGTAACCTTTCAAACGTAATGTCAGTCCACTTTCCCACCCTCAAAAGAAACCCCCAAAACATCAAAATTCAGACCTAAAGATTTGTCGTTAAGTATTTTTTTTGTAATATCTTGTTTATCCTTTTTTATGGGGATGGGGAGGCCTATCAAGCTCAGCCTATAGAGCTGAGCCTATATTTAGGAGCAGAAAATCAATGCAAGTTATGCAAAGCTATAAACCAATTAGTTTCACTTATTCAGAACTGCACTAAAATAGCTGCATTCGTTTCATTTCGTGACTGCTCATAATTCACAAGGTATTTCCTTATTTCCTCCAAAAGATCAATCCTTTAACTCATGATTTTACAAAGATTTGGTGTAAATTTATTAAGTAGAACACTTAAATGGTATTTTCCATAATGCAAGGTTGCAATTTTGACTGGCCATCTTTTGAATGAGTTTTTTCCTCACCGAAACAACAAGTAGTCGTTTCTAGAAAACTCGGTCTTAAATTCCTCTTTTGGATCCTCTTTATAAAGGTCACGTTTAGAAGAAATAAAATAAAAGCCACCACCTGTTATGCATGACATTTGCCTAAATATTGATGTGTGTGAGCGGAACGGACAAAATGAATTGTTGTGACTTTATGATCACATTTCCTTCCCTAGTTTGACACACAGCTAATGGTCATGTCATATCAGTGTGAGTGATTGATATGGTTAGAAAACGTGACAACTGCTATTAATATTCGTTGAGCAATTCGCTTCTAAGAGCCTGCGAGTAGGTTGGGCGAATTTGAACCTGTTGAAAATCAGGTAAAATCTTCACTCAAAGTTACATTTACGATCAGTAACCAAGAGTCAAGGAGACATATTGCATTACTCAAATGCTATCTTGTCATACACAATGGAGCCTGATCATTCATTTTCATCTGCAAACTAAGACAAAAATGTTGTTTTGCTTCTCTGTCTGTTGCTGTTTAATCATTTTTCAAGCCCATTTTCGCTGGGCAGATTTGTGAAAAATATGACAAGACATCCTTAATCTGAGCTGCCTTGAACCCCGGACAGTTGAATTGTAAAGATAGCAAAGTTTTGCCCTGAGGCTGATTTCTTGCCCATTAAATCATCTTAATCATTCAATCTTGATTTGCTTAAGTGCAGTTGAAAAACTGGCATGGCTTATTCTGTGGTTAGCAGAAGTCATGAAAAATGCGCTTTATGTAAAGGACGATACAAAAGGAGCCTGCCGTTCGTGGGTGATGAATGGCCAGAGGGCCATTCATCACCCACGAATGGCGCGCTACCGAGTGCATTACCCTACTTAACACTCTCTAAGAATTTGTCATTAGTGCTTGAATGAAGGCCTTAGTACATCTTCATTGTTGAAAAGTTGTACACTTAAAATGTACTAAAAATGAAGTTGAGCATAAAAACGTGCCGGTCAAAGTTAAACTTTTGAGTCGTTTTCATGTTGTGGATCAATTTTTAGGCCCATGTGTAAAATGGAAAAAAATCCAACCATGCCAATTAAAATGGAATTTTTTTCCATAAAAAATGGAATTTTTTTTATAGTTATTCATGACAAAAGTACAATGACATCACATTATTGTTATTATTTAGACACTAAGTTACATTTAAAGCATTTAAAGGAACGGCAGTCGTCGAGCTGCCACCGTAGCCTAGTCGCTTAAATGATGAACTATGGATTAAAAGATCCCTGGTTTGAATCCTGTTATGACCATTTTTCCAATTCTTAAGGGGTTTCACCCACCTACGGGAAAAAATATGCTCGTAGCATGGCATTCATAAGATGCCAAAATGGCATGTCGTGCTCCATTCGCGCAAAATAATAGCGAGAAAAAAAAAAAATAGTGCGACGTCACAGGAGGGTGTTAACAGCCCGCCCCCAAAATAGAGTTTGCTTTTCTTTTAGCAACACAATATTACATCACTTGTGAATGAGACATTGACCCCAAACAAATCAGCTATTGTTAAGTTATGGAATAATTACTTCACAAATTTCAAATTATTTGTTGCCCAACAATAAATTAGTTTTTGCAGGGTAGACTGGTTTCCACCTATATCTCACAATTGATAATGTGTGGACTAGGAACCATTAAATAAATTTGCTTATGGGTGAAAGGTAGATTACATTTTGTATATCATTTGCAGCTATCCCAAAAGTAACTGACGAAATTATTGTTGAAAAGCATACTTGGTTTTAATATAGTAATGGCACTAAACTCCCTTTCTGGCACACTGTCATTTTGAAGAAAACAATAAAAGAACATTTCTGTTGGTAGTTGTTGACACAACACAACACGCACTCTGTTGCTGTAATTCGTCAATTCAGTGCGTGACATCGCGTAGCTGCAATCGGCTGAATGAGAACGTGTCTCGGATGCTGATTTTGGCACAATTCAAAACATGACTCGGCCACTTTAAATTGAAACCAAGATCCCAGAATATTGTTTTCTTGGAATATACAGCATTCATCATGTTAGTTGTCAAGCAACCGTCTTTTTAGCACTTTTGTTTTAAGCACTTTTGTTGATTCAAGCGAAAAAAAATTCACAAATGACAAATGATAAAAACTACCTTTAAATTGAACATTGATTACCTGTGTGATGATGTCCATTGCTTCTGATGGTAGCTAAGGCAATCTCACTGGTTGCAGCCCCATCCTGGCAATGACAGCGATGAGATCGATAGTTATTGGACACCTCCAAGAGCTTGGGAAGTCCGATGGACGATATGGTGTACAGGTAAGGGTTAATGGAGGAGTTGATGGGCAGGATAAAGACTGCTGTCCAGGCGTACACGGTTGGGGGTATGACCACAGACCCGGACAGGGACAGGTAACCCATGATCACGATGGGAAACCAACAGCACATGTCCGTGGCAATGATAAGAAATGTCTTGGTGGCCAGTTTGAGTTCGTTGGTGGCTCCCTTCGTGGAGCGGATTTGCTTGGCCGAGCGCTTGGCGTAGATGTAGATGGCCGTGTAGCACACCAGGATGGTGAGAATACTGATTAGGTTGACTCCTAGGAACAGGATGATGGAGTACTCCCACCCTGGCGACCTCTCACTGGTCAGGGGTAGCGCTAGGCAGACGCTGGACCGGCCGTAGTACCGCTCGCCAAAGTAGGGCAAGCCCAGTGCCGGGATGATGCTTAGCAAGAACGCCAAGACCCAGGTGCCTGCGATGACCCATCGGACCGACTTCCGGCCAAGCTTCAGCCGGCCGAAGGGAAACATGATGCACAGGAACCGATCCAAGGTGATGACGGTCAACGTGAAGACAGACGCCTCGCTAGAAAACGCCGACAGGAAACCGGCCACCGTGCATAAGGTGCTGCTCTTCCACGCATCGGCAAAGTAAATATACACGTCCCGGTAGTGCACGTCGGCGGCTGCAATGATCAGCATGTAGACCCCCATGAGGCAATCAGAAAGAGCCAGGTTCAGAATCAAGAGGCCCTGGACCTTGAAGCGTTGCTTGGTGCGAAGACGCCAGACCACCACAAAGGCGTTGCCCAGGAATGCGCTCAGACCCAAGATCCAGTTGAAGGCGCGCAGGACGTGGTTACGCATCAGATCCTCACAGGATGAGAACTGGTCTGGTTCTGGAGTGCACTCCTGTATATCACCCACCATGCAGCAGAACAGGTACTTGTCTGAATGTCTGGGGGATACAGAATTCAACATGTTTCTCCATAAGGAAACTGAAGCATGCCAGCCATTTCTTCCTCATTAAATCAATACAAAAACCCATGCCAAAAAAATTTGATAGATATAAGACACCTCTAATACAAACAGAAATCCCACAAGTTTTGTATAGGTGAACAACATATTAATTTTAATTTCCACCTTCATTTATTGAGGAAAATCTCTGGCAGTTATTCACATCTTTATCTGTTTAATACCATACAATCCCCATACAATCCCCATACAATTCTCAAAATATAGAGAATGCAGTAACTACTCTTCTGAATAGCTCAGGTTATACTTACAGTGTTTGAAGTGAGGTAATGCCCGAGAACAAATCTTGCGGAAACACTCTCAGACTGTTGTTGCTGATATCCCTAGAATATTCAACACAAAACAAGAGCAAACGCTCATGCTAAAAACTTATCAAGCATCGAGAAAATAACCATTACTGATGAGGTGCTACCATGCCCGTGTGAACATTCAACACACACGGATTTCAAAAATCTCATTTAGGTTTTTGATTATTTTTGAAATAAAATTGGGCAATCATAGTACTGGAACGGAAAGTGGTTTGGCAATTATAACAAACATCAGTTGCTTACCCCTGCCTTATATGCTGTCCACTGTACCTAAGAACAGTGGTTTACTTACGTTTTAGAGTTTTTTGGGGGGGAGAGGGAGGGGGTTAGCCACCCCGTGCTAAATATGCTCTCTGCACACTGCCTGCTTGCCCGTGACGCACTATATCCGGACGTGCTTGAAACCACAAGACGGCCATCCAACATGCTAAAAAAGATTGGGGGTAAACCCCCCCCCCCCTTGAAACATGTCTCGCTACGCTACTGCCTATAAAGTATCATGCTGTATGTAAGGCCACATCAGAATCTCTTGTCTAGTGCTACTGTCACAATCTTAAAAAATTACGATTATGTAATTTAGCCAAAGCTCTGGACGACCTTTTTTTATTCCTAGCATAAGACTTACAGGAGTGTTACTAGCCGAAGACTATCAAAGGTTCCAGCTTCCAACTCCGACAAATTGTTGCTGCTCAGGTCACTGGAAATATAAACCAACACACTTGATTTCAACAAATGCGACAGACAACTTTATAATTGCATTTTGCATTTTTACAGGGTATTCCAAAGATGTACTGTTTCTGCTGTTTTCAACTGTCATTCCAAACTTTTTTTCAGTTGCTATTTTATCTAACAATACAAAATTTGTTCACTTGTGAATGAGACATGGAACCAAAATAAAATCCACCCATGTCTAGTTAGGCAAAACCTTCTAATTATTTGAAACTTAAACAATAATTCATTGCAATGATTTTTTTGCCACCTTTTGTTGATTTGAGGCCTAAAAGCAATCCAGAATAAACGTAGGTGCCAAAAATTAAAAAAAATAGTTTTTTTCATAAAAAAAATTACAAGAATACAATTATTTTAAGATAAGGCCCCCCCAAAAAAGCCTCCGGTTTCTGGTATGGAGCTTGCCCAAAAAGTGGTGCGGCGACGCGGCTTTTTTTTTTTTACCTGATTTTTTTTGCCTCAAATGTCGGCTGATGACTGCAAATGGTGCCCGACTAAACTTAGTGCAAATATATGGGAGTCCAGAGAGGCCATATAAAGCTTATTCTCGATCATAACCCCATCCAAAAACACGTTAAAATTGTGCAGCAGCAGGATTCCAGTCAAACCAGTGAGTTTGGCAGTTTTGAGACATCATCTTTCATTGAAAAAAAAACTTTTTAATTTTGCCGACGCGCATGGCTACGGTGACACGCGCGCATACCAGAAACCGGAGACTTTTCTTTTTTGGCCTAACAATTCAATACGTTGAAAAGGACGGATAGTATATCTTTAATTGTTTGAAAACAAAATAAGACCGTTGTTTCATAACCACTCAATTTTTAAATGAAAATTGGCATTTCACCTGTTTAAAGTAGGGTACTGGAAAGGTTAACGGTTGGAAACAAGTCTACAACTTTCAACGTGGTGAAAAAAAATGCTTGCCAAGTATGACTTACAGCCGCTGCAGTGAGTCCAGACCATCAAATGTCCCTGAATATATATGGCTGATGGCAAGGCCGTGAAGATCACTGAAAAAAAATTGGCAGAAAACTGAACATCAAGATTCAAGTGATTCATTCTGGGCAAATTTTATAAGTATAAGTAGCTGGTTTTGTCTTTCTCGATCTATGTATGTGCAAATCGAAGTTAAACTAAACTTTGTTCCTTTCTTTTTAATACTTTCCACACATGCGTATGGTCCATGAAATTTAATTTTTAATAATTCAATAATTCAAATAATTTTTTTAACAGGGAAATTTCAAAATCAAAATGAGTAAAGTCAGTCATGTGGAATCTATGTTTTTTCGAAATAAGCTTCATTGTTTATAATCGGTTTTCCTTGCCCTATTGAAACCAAATGCGATAGTAACCTTTCACATTTGTAAATTATTGTTACTGGGGACAGAAATATTCATTTTGCTACAATGAGTGTTGCCATGTGATCTGTGTCGTGGGCACATTTGGTCTGTCGCACCGCAAAACGACATTTTCGTAATAATCAGGTGCAACATAGTGTGGGTTCAAACATTGAAATAATAATCAGGGACTGCCGTGATGCAGCTGATATTATAGAAGTGCGCCCTCGCATGGCTGGTTTTGACCAACAAATTTACTCTCATTGATGTCTATAGAATCTGAAGCACAGCAGAGAATCAACAAACAACTCTAATGACCCAAGCCGAGAATCGAACCCGCGCCACAGCGGTGAGAGGCGAACACTTTACACACTGCACCATCCATGCCACCCAAAAATTACAATGTTCATGACATGTGTCTAGGGTGGAATTACAATCCCGAGTTTTCATGGGAAGACTACTTCAAAGATAGTTCACTCACAGGTGAGGAAGGCTCTGCAGATGATGGAAAGCTCCCGGTTGGATCTGAACCAGAGGATTACCTGATAAATCTCTAAAGAAAAAAATGAAAAAATTAGAAGATTATTGCATTGACAACCAAAAAAAAAAAAAAAAAAAAATGAATTCAAAAGAAAGGAATAACTATGCACTAAAACTGAATAGTTCACTTTGACTTTTCAAAAAAAAATGATTAAGCTGACACAGCCTACATCCCGGTACCAGAAAGTCAGCGTCGCCATTGTAGTAGGCAAAGATCGTTAAGTACCACGCGCAGTAGGATGGAAAACTGACAAACACAACACCCAGTGCTAGCTTGGAACGATGAGTGGTGACCATGCCAATTGATAAATAGTCCCAGTTATTTTACGTCAAAATAAGCTCTACTGTCTAGTTTGAATGCATGACGTGGTTGCTAACCAAATGCTAACTACAATGGTAACCGCATGGTCAGGTGGTACTTTGACATCATAGGATTGGAACCTATCGGTACCCAAGGGCAGATCCAGAACACAATTTTGGGGGGGGGCCAAAAAAAATTTTGGTCCCCCCAAAATTTTTGGATTCTAGATGCTCTGTGGTGCGATCTGAGGCAATTTCTGACCACTTTAACCATTTTTTTTTGAGGAAAAGATGGTGGTGTACTCATTGCCTGCCTTTATTGCGATGTCACATAAAAAAAAAAAAAAATTTGGTTTCGTTTTGGGGGGGGGGGGCCCATGGCCCCCTTTGCCCCCCCCCCCCTGGATCCGCCCTTGTCGGTACCTTAAGCTTTACTCCAATGGAACTCTTGTGAGGTCATTTTCCAAATTCTCCCCAATCCACCACTTAGCAGGAACAAAAATGACGTGGAGTGTCATGGCCTAGCGGTTAAGAGCACCAGACTCATGCTCTGGTGTTTCAGAGGCAACAGTTGCGTGGGTTCAAGCGCCGGTCTGGACACTTGTGCCCTTAAGCAAGGCACTTAACCATTATTGCTTCGTTCTTTGGACGGGCCATAAAGCCTTAGGTCCCCTGTGTTGTGTTATGCAATGCACCTATTGAACCCAGTGACATTTATCGCCAACAGAAGGGGTTTGCCTCGGTGTTTCTGGCCTCCTTTTAGTAAAACTCCCACGCGGAGTACTTAGGAAAAGAACCAACCTAGAACCAAGAAAGCCCAACTGTGATTCTTTAAAAGATTTAGGATGGTTAGACTTTAACTTTACTTGAATTGAATTCATTGCTATCACTGATTTAGTACTTTAACAACGTCAGTACTACGTTTTAAAAAGTTCCTCCAAAACAGACTTACAGTTTTTGAAGCCAGCGCAATCCTTCAAATGTCCCTGGTTCCAGATTGTACAGTTTGTTATTTGCAACTGACCTGCAACAACAGATATTCATGTACATGTTTAATCTTACATTTTACAAAAATATTAAGTCTTTCCTACATAATTTTCCTACATACCAGATTTTGTTTACTCAAAATCTGCATGGGAATATACGTTGTATGCAAATCATCATGTGAAGTGCATAAGTCAGTACAATATACTTACAGTGAGAAGAGATTTTTCTGCTGACGGAACATTCCTGGATCCAAAATCTCAATCTGGTTGCCTGAGATATCCCTGCATCGAAAAGGATCAAATTTTGAAAGTATTTAAAAGATATTCTGGACTTCTGTGGCAACTGAGGATATTTTCGAGGCATTTTTACACAGTCCCTGAATCCTCGAAAATCTATCTCAGTGCCGGAAGCAAACAGACACATTCTTTTAACTTCAAGACCTGTGAAAAGTTGTTGGAGGCTGAACCATATTCCGAAATCCTGCAAAATAATCCGAACACGTACTCCGGGTAGACACTGAAAGATGGGACTTTTGGAATACTTCAAGTTTCTGGAAAAGTTTTGGGTGAAATCCTTAAGGTTCTTTGTTCAACCAAATTTTCTTGATTTAGTTTCTTCAGAAAAAATTCTGGATGATTCATCCATGTACTGCCCAAAACCACCCTGCCCATTACTCCCTGTAGCCCCCAATATGCAGGAGCACTCCGTGGTTTTATGCCACATCAGTGAATAAACACAATGTTATGCAATGTAATACAATGTAATACAATGTAGTACAATGTTATACAATGTAATACAATTGTTATACAATGTAATAAAAATGTTATACAATGTTATACAATGTAATACAATGTAATACAACGTAATAAAATGTAGTACAGGTGTCAATGGGTTAAGAAAAAAAAATGTAATCTATCCTTACAGCTCAAACAAGAAGTGGAACCTCTCCAGTTGAATAAATAAAAACTCTGTGGTTTTATGGTACATCAGTGAATAAACACAATGTTATACAATGTAATACAATGTAGTACAGGTGTCAATGGGTTAGGAAAAAATGTAATCTATCCTTACAGCTCAAAAAAGAAGTGGAACCTCTCCAGTCGAATGAATAAAATGTCCTCCAGGGTCACATTGTGATTGGACACCTCTCGTCTTTTCCTCTGCACAGTTCCTTTGAAAATGGTATTACTCAGAACTCTGCGGATCAGCAAAAGAAACCTCAAGTTTATCTTTTTGAGAAAAACAAAATTACAAAATGGGGACCCCGACATAAAAACAAAACAGTGTTTTACAATTTTTAATGGGGCAAGTGTGAAGTGTGAAGTGAAAAGTGAGGAAATCAGGGCCTTATTTCTTGGCACTGCTAACCACAGAATTTCGCGCTTATGATCACCATTCTGTGCTTACAGTGCAAGCAAAAAAATCTGCGCTAACCTGTTAGCACAGAATTAGTTACGGGATATACGCATGCACAGAAACCATAATTCCTCCCTAACCCATGAAATACGCTTGCCGTAAAAGCATGGAATTTTCTGCTATAGTAAGCAGGGATTTTTTTGCTAACGGTAAGCAGAGCCAAGAAATTGGGCCCTGCTGATCTGAGGAAAAGTTGCATGCCTGAATATAGTACATGATCTATAAATGTCCGATGTCCGACTGTAAGTTCACCTTCTGGACAGAGATAATTTGAAGAATTTTTTTTTACATTGAGTACTCAAACTTGCAATTTAAGTCCAGAATCACATTTGGTTATAAGGGGTTGCAATGCTGCTTTGTACCAAGTCACAATATAAACTTCAGACAAGAATCTATGTGCCACATTGCAAATCTAAATTTTGTAAAATTACACCCCTATAGAAGGCTACACTCCATTTTCACTAGAAAATCACACAAACAGATTCCACGATGTTTAGGCAAAAAAAAAAAAATAGTTCTGCTTCCGATTGCATGGCACTGTAATAGGGTAGGTAGGTAGGGATTTTTTTTGGCCAATTTTTTTGTGTACGATCATATGGAGGTGTCTGCGTGTAGTCAAGGGTAAAAGGTAGAAATTGATGATTTTGGGTGTTTTTTTCCCCTCATTTTTCCAATAAAAAAATTAGGGTAGGGGCTGTCAGAATAGGGTAGGTAGGGAAACCGGAAGCAGAACTATTTTTTTTGGCCTTATAAGCCCACATACACCACCATCTTTGATGGCAATCTCAGAAGGCATTTCATTAAAAAATATGTCCAATCATGCTGTTGTATCCTGAGCATGATGGGACGTATTTTCAGCGACATCCCCTTTTAGATTACCATGTGACCACAAAGCTGGTGGTATTTGTGAAATCATTTTTTAATAAGGCTACAACTCACAGTCTTCTTAAAGTATCTGGTAAGTTATCAGCTTTAGTCTGGTTCCAGTCTGTGCTGACACATGTGAAGGATAGGCCTGTGCACTGACATCCATCAGGGCAGTCCACACCTGCAAATACCATATTAGAATCAACTGTACTTTTTTTTAAAAAGCAAATTGGAATCTTTTACTGCTATTAAAGCCCGAGTCCATCATTTGCAGCTATCCAAAAAAGTAACCGGCGTAATTATTGTTGAAAAACATACTTGGTTGAAAGATAGTAAGGGGACTAAACTCCCTGTAAAATCATTCTTTCTGGCAAGCTGTCATTTTGAAGTAATCAACGAAAGAAGGCCTTTCCAACGGTGCTTCTTAAGAAGCACCGTAGGAAAATTTAAATTAGTTGTTCGTTTTGTTATTCGGCGCAGCGCGCACAAGCATTGGAACGACGTACAGGCGCGCACGGTTGCTATAATTCTTTGGATCAGTGCACAACATCGCGTAAAGCTGCAATTCAAAACAATTCGAAACATGATTTAGCAACTTTTGATTTTAAATTGAGATCCTAGAATGCTGTTTTTCTCGGAATATGAAGCTGAAGCTGAGCTGAAACTTTATCAAGTAAGTTGTTCAGTATCCTTCATTAGATTTTGAACATTTTTGTTGCTTCAAACGAACAAAATGCACTAATTACAAATGATGGACTATAGCTTTAAAGCATAATTTGTAGACCTTCTTGATGAATGTCCCTTCTAACTGGCTGTCGTAATTGTGGCACATTCACGACGAGTATGAGTACAAGTGGGATGGTTTCATTAGAAGCACTGAAGGAACTATATACTCACCACAGAAGAGCTCATCATCTCCCAGTGGGCATTCCTTGGCTCCGTTGCACACCTGGTCCTCATTCACACACACCTGGCTACTACGACACTTATAACTGCCTAATGGGCACACTGAAGGCTCTGAAATCAAGTCAGAAACCAAACCATGACAGTGAGTGAACATATTAGTAAATTTATCCCTATCCATGGTTTTTGACAAATGTATACTGTAATAGGCTACGTGTGCAATTACCCCTTCAACGGTTACAAAGGGAAAGTTGTGCGAAATCACTACCAGAGATATTCGATCCCATTGCCGACAACGCCTGACGCTCATGCCAAGATCTATAGGTTTGCGAACATTCAGACCAAAAGGCTGTAATGGTCTCTGGCGCTAGTTCCCTCTTTAAGGTTATAAAGGGAGAGTTGGAAGAGACCACCGAGAAGGACATTTGAATGCATTGCCAACAATGCTCACTGTACAAGCAGTACATTCACTGTGTGGACTTCCGAACAAAAGATGTCCACATATACGTTGCGTGGACTTGCCCACGTCCACACAATGTTTCCCCCTCTCTGGAAAACAGGTTTAGAGGCATTTTTGGGTTAGGTTTATCAGTCACACAATAAAGAGAAACACTCAAGGGAATCATAGTAAAAAAAATTGGGTTGAAAGCGTTTTCACAGTGTGAGTAAAATGAGTTTTTTTCACAGGTTTTTCTTTACATAAAAACAAAAGAATGTCCACACTCAGTATGTAACATAAACATGTGTGCACATTCAGAAAATGTTTTTGTTGAGAGTACTTTGCGCCATACGCGTGAAAACCAATGTTTGCATGCAGTGTGTCCCGTCTACTGGAAAGTGGTCAAAATGCGCAATCTACTGTTAGTCCATGGAGTCTATGCTATGAGCAAGTTATAACTCAAGCACTGTTGTGAAACAATCTATAAAACATTACAATTTGTACACTTTCTGTCTTGAGCAAACAACTCATGAGTCACATGTTTGTGATCAGTGGCGCAAAAAAGAGAGCTGAGATCCAAGGTTTGCAATACAGGGTGATTAAAAACAAAACAAACCCAAATGTCAGGACCATTTTTTTAAATGAAGTTCTGCATGTAGCACTATCACAATCTAGGACATGAAAGCCCAATTAATACGCTTTCTTTTAGTACAAGAATCATTGAAATCACTCATGTACTTTTCACGTTATGGAATTTTAACACAAACACCGTTTTAAACTTCTTTCACCAAAACGAAAACAATTGACACACATCCCTATATGAACTGTTTTTATGGTGTTTGTGTTTAAAATTCCGTAACTTGAAAAGTACATGAGTGATTTGACTGATTGATGTACTAAAAGAAAGCTTATGAATTGGGCTTTCATATCCTAGATTTTGGAAGTGCTACATGCAGATCTTCATTAAAAAAAAATGGTCCCGACATTTGGGTTTCGGTTTTTTTTACTCACCCTGTATTGTATGAATTAAATTCATGAAAGGAATGTGGCATTTTTTTCCCCAGTAAAATGCAAATACACCACAGTGAGAAATGACTGGTCCTGAGCTGTTGGACGATTAAACATTATTTCTCAACAAACTTTGTCTGGATCCTGTGAACTCACCGCACGAGAGCTCATCTTCCCCATTCGGACAGTCCGACACGTTGTCACAGCGTCGATGAAGTGGAATACAGTAGGACCGGGGGCACTTGTAGGTGAAGGCGCTGCATGTGAAATGCTCTGTAAATGAACACAAGTTTCCGGTGACTTAAGAAATTAACTGCAAGTTGTAGCTTAGGATTGTTAAACTGATTACATTACTTGACACAAGGGAATATAACACAGTTGTAATTAAATCAATTACAAGTCAATCACAAGTTGAGGTCACACGTAACAGGAGAATAATAATAGTAACAGTAATTAGTAATTCGGGAGGCTAATCATCCTTACTCGCAGCTGGGATGCTGACTTGCAAAGGATGCGGCTACAACGTGGTGGGGCCGCTGGCACGTAAAGGCGCCTATGGCTGCCGGCCACATTGACCCATATATGAACACGGAGCACAGCCTGAGATCGAAAGTGTTTGACTTTTCCGGAGGGAGGAAAACCGGAAGGCCCGGAGAAAAACCTTCGTGGCACAGGAGAGAACCAATGCACAACTCTACTCACATGTGATCCGCGGCCAGGATTCAAACAGTGCTCACCTTGGTGAGAGGCGAGCGCTTAACGCACAAGCCACCCATGCCAACCGACAGTACTATAATAATAATGATAATACGAACGCATCCACGTAATAGTACGGCAGATTGGTGATGGGATTGTTCATTTCATGATAAAAGCATGGCATTTGGCACACCGTCAGAGTGTGTCATGAGAAAATACTTGGCTCTAGGGCCATTGCAAATTTATCCTTTGAAAACATATAGATAGAATAACAGGCAATGGCAGCCATTTTGAAAATTTGGAATTGCTTGTTATTCTACTTTTTTTTTTTTTGAAGTACAAATCTGCGTTGGCCCTATAGCTAAAAACTTTCCCTAGGGCGTATTCTTACTGTATGCCATCTTTTTACTTTTATCATCAAATGAGCAATTCTATCATTTTTTGCACCAATCTGCCCGACTATAACAAAAAAAGCGTTCATGGCGCTACAACAATTAACAAACAAGATATTTTGTAGAGCCATACCACAAAATCGAAGGTGGGTAACATCGCGGCAGCCTGTCTGGTACCCAAACTCGTCAAAGTCATAAATGCACCAGTGTCTCGTGTCGGCGCAGGCACCGTTGTTGCATTGCAGCTGATCGGCACCACACTGGAAGTCGGAGTCGGTGGAATGGGCTGAGAAAAGCAACAGACCATTACGGTAGACGGATGGAATAGGAGAGATTCACAATACACCATAAATTTGCTAACTTTTACACTTTTTATCAAATGTGATTTGCGTCGAGGAAGTAAATTTTATTAAGCGTTTTGCCCTTCACTGGCATATCTTATAAAAAGTTTGGTTGCGGTACTTGCTGCTACATTAGATTTAAACTAACAAACCCATCCTAGCAAGCTCGATGGTCGAGTGGTTAAGACTCTGCACTAAGGAGGTCATGTTAGACTGTGGGCCAGAAATCTAGAGTCTGAATGACAGTCATCTTACCACAGCCTGCTTCGTCCTCCCGTATAAATCCTGGGCAATCTTGGGTGGCATCACACACTGCGTGGTGGGGTATGCAGGAACTGTCATAGCACTGGAATGCCATCCGGCAGATGTCTGGGGAAAGTTAAATAAAGACCATTTGGAAACAAAGAAAAACTTTGTTGACTACGCACTTTACGCCAGAGATTAATTTCATATCACTGCTTGACGGTATGTCAATATGTCTGCTTACTGTCGCACAAGAAAATTGCTTTAGTATAAATGGTTTTCTCCAGCTGTTTCTCATATTAAGCAAAGAAACTGCTGCACATACATGTACATCTATAAAAGTGTACTTAAGAAACAGTTGTTAGTAAAACTGAAGAAAATGCCGGGAAAACCCAAAGAGCGGCAAAAAAAAAAAAAAAAGGACAACAAAACTTTGTCCACCTTTGTCTCTTTACAAGATACTCAATTTGATTATAATGACTGTGGCATCTCCTACTAATGTAAGACACTGAACAAATGACATTTACATCATCCCACCACAATTCCTTCAAAAGGGGATGCCATGTAACTTTTTATGCAAATTTGGATTTAAATTTATGCAAATGCTATGCGAACAACATCTTGAGTTGTATCTTACCACAGTTGGTCTCATCCGATCCGTCCAGACAGTCCACGTGTATATTACACTGCTTGTCTCCGTCGATGCACTGACCGTTACTGCACGTGAACTCTGACGGTCGGCACGGCGGATACTCTAATGAAACAGATTGAACCAATGAGCACTTATATCACATGTTATCTTCAAGCAAGTTTGAATTCCTCCATCCCGATTGGTCGATCCCTGGCAATAACAGTATGGCATACCATGGTCCATATGGCACTCCGCGCTAGGGGGTTCAGGGACAAATAGGTTAATAGAACGAACAAATAGTAGTGCATCGATTGTCAGTAGGACATGTTGTGTGTTTCAGTTCAGGGTATATGGCACAGAAATCAAGGATAACACGCAAGAAAGGATCCAAAATTGACTCAAAACTCAGAAAAACATGTGAAAAGGTTGTCTTGAAATAGTTTTATTTACCAAGTAGGCAATAACAGCATTAAGAAAGGAAACTGTGTAATGTCGGTGACAGAGCTAATTAACCATGTCTTCTAATTAATGATTCAGAGAAATGATAAAAAAAAATCCTAGTCTGTAATCTCCTTGACCATCACTAGATGATGGATGTATAAGATTTGACAAATACATTTTCAGGTTTATTCACTGAGCTCTTAAAAGCTCGGTTGCAGACATTACATAGCGCTGGAATTACCCAAGTACATCTGTGTTTGTTTATGTCCCACCGGAAAGATTTTTTTAAATATTTTTTGTTCTTAAGAACTTTTTGGCAGGCTCTTGCATTTCTCAGAAGGAAGCTTTCATTATCAAAATGTGGTTTTCAGTTTATTTGACCTATAAATGTAATATAATAACTGACACAACACTTGATTTACAAAATGCATCAAATAATCAACACAGGCCTACTAAAACTGATATATCTGAGATGTCTTTTTAGACATATTTATTAAAAGCTACTGACCACAATGTTCCTCATCTGAACCGTCCGAACACTGGCGGATAAAGTCGCACAGAAAGGAGAGAGAAATACAACCCCCTTTGGCACAACGGAAAAGCCCACTGTTGCAACTGTCAGCCAAGCTTACAGCATCAGTTGTATCTGAAAGATAAAATGCCCGGACAAGTTAAGCATGTTATCGTGTACCTAGTCATAAGACATTTACTAAATTGTAAAAGTCAGAGAGCTTGATGTTTTGAAAGCTTAATGGACTCGCAGAGCTATTTCTATTGTCAATGTTTCCCCAAATTGTTGTATTTGTTGAAAATCTAGACAATAGCTGAACAGGGTGAGTCAAACAGAAAGTGACCTGGATTAATGACTTTTTTCTGTCCACTGCAAGATTTGTTCAATTCGCATTTGATATTAAAAGATTCTGCCCGAATTGAAACATCAGGTCCTGTAACTTTTTACAATTCTTAAACTTCAGATTGCTCAAGCTAGTAATAAGCAGAGTTGTAACAAGTCACTGATTTTTGTGACTCGAGTCGCGTCGAGTCATTTTAAAGAAGTGACTCGAGTCGAGTCAATTCATTAGGTAAAGAAGGTGGAGTTGAGTCACAGTGTGTAGTCAAGTCTAGTCGCGCGAGTCAAATATTTAGCTCGAGTCAATTGGAGTCACACATTTTTGAACACTATATAACAAATAAATACCAGAAAGAAAGTCATTTGCATCACTAACAGTTACATACATACATACATATAGGCATTTTTATAGCGCCCCACAAAGATCGGAGCGCTTTGCAAAAGCTGACAAAAAGGTTAACAAGAAGGGAAACTTCGGTCTTATAGGCTATCTGGCTTGGCTTCAAGTCTAGAAGTTTTTCGCTGATCGCAGACAACATCAAAACAAAATTGCATGAAACAAAAGTGTTTCTGAATATTTAAAAGTGGGCATGAATCTATTGGGCAATTCCACGGTAACGGAATTAAGGACGTTTTCACTCATTAAACAAAATTTCAAATGTGTGTATCACAGACACTGTTATTAGTTACAGCAAACAAATGTCACAATTGTATTGCTATAATGCTACCTTCAATTTCCACACTTTTGGGGGGCATGAATACCTCTCGTTCATGAATTATGAATATTAATGAGGTCGGTAACGGAAGGACGGTAAAACGGACAAGGGTTTTTCAACTAACATGTGTTTTGCGTAACGGTGAATTTTATGGGGCAATTTTATTTTAAAGGTAGGAAATGGAATCCCTGAAGCTTTATCTATACTATACCACCTTTCATTTGAATTTAAGTGTTTCGGTAATGTAATTACAACATCTTCAGTGGATTATAATTTGGTAACGGAAGGACGGTAATGGAAGGACAAAAGGTTTACTCAATTATAGCATGAACAAAATGTTAATTCACACCAATTATACAAGTGAAACAAATTGCTGAAATGTGTAACTGAATGTGAACAATATGCAGACCTGGCATAAATAATTATACCCAAGAAACTATTGAGATAAAGATAGGTGCCTGCTAATTAATGATAATAAATGAAAAACGAAAACAACCAAAAAAACATAATTCACGAACACAAGACTACTACAGAAATAGACTTCAAACCCATCACCTCAATCCTTAAAAGTTTAAATACACAGTATTTGAACACTTGAGTATATTGGTTACATGTTCACCAACAACTTTTAATAATAATACCGGTAGGTTCAGTGGTTTACCTAAAGGATGGGGGGGGGGGGGGGGGGGGAGGGGGGAGGGGTGCGACCAGCCTACATGTACATTTAAGTTAAAAACATCTACCGGTAGAACTGATGGCTTCAGAATCATTATGCTTTAAAAAAATGTTTCAGGTGTTGATTTTAATTGAACTCTAAATTCAATGTTTGAAATTAAATTATAATGATTTAGAGTGTTGTTAATAATTAACTAATAAACATCCAAACTGAAGTTGTTAACTTAATTTGTCAAAAATTGCACCTCACATGTCTTACACATGTAAATTGTATGAAAGTGCCCAATAGTACCGGTACTTTCTGCCATCTCATTTTTGACTTCTGTAATGGCGTCACAGAAATTGTATCTTTCTCTATTGTCCATTAATAGTGATGGCAGCAACTTTATGATTTGATTTTCTGCAACAACTCCATACATGTACGAGTACTGGTACACTGACATACATGTACATGTACATTGTACATGTTGTACATATGCCTGTGCCATCCTCTGTAATGAACACCTTGCCCTGCTTATACCACCTTTGTGAAGGTGGGTCACATGAATGTCCTTTCAATGCGCATTATACATGCATGTAGTTGCAGTAATTTTCATTTTCAAACATGAGCACAAATGTCGTAACATTTGATAAAAATAACATTTGTCCTTCTGTTACTGTCCTTCCGTTACCAATTTGGTAACGGAAGGACGTGATTTAATTAATTGTAATGAAAAAACGAGAAGTACAGAAGTGTCAGTTATAATGTCATATTGAAGGCCTACCTAAACTTGCTTTGCCCAATAACTTTCATTGCATTCATACTGCAAGTTTTAAAAATAAATTAAAAATATGTATTTTTTCGGTAACGGAAGGACATTTTCGAAGGCTGAAATGTTAGAAGTCACTGAAGCAAAACAAATTACACAAATCGTAAAAAAAAAGTTTCAGTCAATTTGTCATGACCTATACTTTCTCATGACAGAAACTGATGGCATTAGTACATACATGTATTTGTGTGTGTGTATTGGTAGAATACTTTCATATCACTATTAATCACATTTTTAGGATTAAAACAGGATTATTACGTAATCCTATTTTTTGGTACCGAAATGTATCAAAAATAAAATTCCGACTTCAAATATTGAAAATATAGACTTTTAGCTTTCATTTGACGCCAAACTTGTTTAAGTCACATGCATTTGAATTTTTTGGTGTCATGTCCACTTTGGTGTGGAATTGCCCTATTAATTTTTTAAAGGAAGGCATACATTTAGCCTGTGTTCAAATCCAGGAGCTTAATAAGAAATCGTCCAAAGCCAATGATGAAACCACGAATTGAAAAATGTGTTTGAAGTCTTGTTCCATGATAGTATTTTGTGCGTTCCAGAACCACAAAGTGGGAGTCTGTGACACGTTGTTTGTTTGTACATGACAAGCGGCCACTGTACCGTACTGTATTCGTACAGTGACATGAACGTAAATTTTGCACCGAAAATTTTTCGAAAAGTTTTGCTTTTATTTATGTGACTCGAGTCTTATTAGCCTTCGCTCAAGTCGAGTCGAGTCTTCCGATGAATGCCTTGAGTCGAGTCGAGTCATTTGCTTGCAGTGACTCAAGTCGAGTCATTTACACTTAGGGACTCGAGTTGAGTTGAGTCACCAAAAAGTGTAACTCGAGTCAGACTAGAGTCGATGCACTGACTCGAGTCATTGCAACTCTGGTGATAAGCAGTTTGTTAAAGCCATTCATGTGTTAGTAATCTAAAATCTAACAGAAATTGTAAAAGTCCTAACTCAGGCATGCAACTAGGAAATCACAAAAAAGAGGAAAATCAAATCTTTCCCAGACTTTGTACAGTGTTTTTCCATTTTTAAGTAAAAAAAGAGGAAATCGGCTGATCTGAGGAAAAGTTGCATGCCTGCTAACTACAACTATTTTCTTTGGTACTGCTACAACATGGTGCTGCGATAATTTCCATGCAAAAAAAAAAGGTCATGCTTCCCTCGGGTGAAATAAAATGCTAAGAACCCAAAGGAATCTATTAGTTGGCCTAAAGCATGGACCTTGAAAAGAAAGCAAAGGAATAAAGGAAAGCACGAGGGAGGTGTGAATTTATTCTAGCGTTACTCTTTGTTTAAAATTCAAAACTGAAATAGTTTCGGATTATTTGATTTTGAGTTGGCACTTTTTGGGCAGTGAGAATCCTGTCACTAAGTGCAGCCAAGCGTAAAGAAAAACACTCACTCGGTCCAACAGTTCTTGCTGTATGAAGAAATTTAAATTCAGATTAGTCTCTTATTTTCAAGGGTTACTGAAACCTACAAATGCAGCACAGAAAAACACGGAAGTTAATTAGGAATATATTCTGGGGGGTAATATTTCAATGTTACAAACCATGACTGTATCTATAAAAGAAAAGATGTTTTTAATACTAACTCCCCAAGTATCTGTACAAGAGAACCGACTGAACTACCCGAGTCCAACGTTGCAAGTAATCCAAATGTTTCTTTCAATAATAAAGAATAGAGACGTCAACAACCCCAATCATAATACGAGTGGCTTTCTTGCAGTCCTCAATGGATCAAAATACTTCAAATTTAGGTACAGTGGGGGATTCCGGGTAAAATTCACTCATATTTGGATAAAATATATATTCAAAAATTGTTTCCTAGAATTAGAAAGTTGGAGAGTTCTGAACGCGACAACTGAAATTCTAGGGAATATTTTACAGAATTATTGCGTCCAGAACATGCTGTTTTAACGTTGGGTTTTTCCATTTTATCTCAGTACTAATCAAGACCTTGCCAGAAAAATCAACAGCTTGCTCAATGACTTTTTGGACAAAATGAAACATCGGATGAAATTCATTGCGATACCTACTGCTATATCACTGGTTGAGTGGTTAAGACGTCTGCACTAGTAAGCAGGAGGTCATGGGTTCGAGTCTCACCCGAGTACGTAGTTTGTGAAATTTTTCTCACAATCTCTCAGGACAACACTGAATATACAGTGTTTATAAAATACGTAGGTGAAGGGCAAAACCCAATGTTGAATTTATATCACTCCAACGTAAATTACATCTTATGAATATTAAATTAGCATCAATGAAGCGGGGGGAACCCAATTTTAAAAATTGCAATTTTGATGTTGAATACTTGACATGTCATGGAAGTGTGTGGCCTAGTGGTTAGGGTTCGTACCTCATGATCAGAGGGTCTGGGGTTCGAATCCAGCCACTGGTCATATATTGTGTCCTTGGGCAAGGCACTTCCCCCCACTTGCCCCTCTCCACCCAGGAGTATAAATGGGTACTGCGATGGACTAGCATCCCATCCAGGGGGAGTAGAAATATTCTCAGTCGTTTCATGCTACTGAAACCGGAGATAAACGCCGGCCTGATGAGCCACATTGGCTCGGGACAGACTTTACTCTTTTTACTTGACATGTCATACCTTGTACGCAGATTGCCTCGTCACTCATGTCTGCGCAGTCCACCACGCCATCACACATGTATACTTGCTGTATGCACTCCCCGGTATCGCAGTAGAACATAGAGTCACCGCACTGCTGAGTCACATCTGATACACAGGAAAAAAAAAGTCAAAATTGTACAAATCCCTTGAATTCTTGAGCAAGTTTGAGCACCAACCATGGTGAGTTTGACAAACTTTACTCGACGCTACACTAATGAACTATAGCTGGACTAGGCTTGGGACCAACCTTCCAGGGTTGGTCGCATCACTGGTTACCGGTAGCCAAGGCCATCATAATGCATGGCAGGGAGCCAGGAAGCAGAAGAAGTAGTTGTTCGCACTTCGATATTAGCATACTTCACAAATTAAACAACAGTCAATTCACTTTTTTATCTTTTTAAAGTTGAACATAAGAACAGGGCTTGAACCTGCAATCTCCGGATTGCCCTTCCAGTGGTCTACCAACTGAGCTATCCAGTCCTATGTTGGCCGTTCCTCATTTTGTCAATTTGTTTTTAATGAATCAGGAGAATAAGACAACTGTTCTTAAAAGGATGCTGTGGTCTAGCCATCCCCTTTTCCTCGATTGATATTTTAAATATTATTTAATATGTTTAACTCCAAAATGATTAAAAGAAAGAAAAGAAAACACCAGGAAGACAAGCTTCCTTGAGTCAAAGGAGGTGTGCTCCAAATATCTGACCAGCCAGCGCGCTATTGTGTTCTTTGTGCCGTCCCCCCCCCCCCGAACAAAAAGAAACTTTGGTTCTGGATATGCTAGTACACTTAAGTGTGAGTTAGTTGCCACAAGTATAAAAGTTTGACTTGGTCTAGCTCTCGCTCGTTACAATTGAGGGGGTACTTTATCACAAAGTAAATAATATGAAATGACATTACCTCTAGTCTGCTGGTAACACACCACGGCAGACACCGGACTATCACAGGGGATATGCTCCTCCGGCTCCCACCGGCCACCAGAGTAACGGACCCTCGTGCATCCCCCGTACTCCATCTCAGGATCACTCCTACTGTCCCACATTTGTCCCGTCGCATCCGTCCGCCCCACGCCGATGCGGTACCCCTCCTGCTGCAAGGAGGCGTTGGTCCAGACGCGCCTGACCAGGTACAGGATTGAGACCAGGAGATCAGGTGTGACTTGGACGTCAGTGAGGCATTCGCCGGAGTCGTCAGGGGAAACGGGGAGGGCATCTGTTGCCAAGAGGAGGCGGGCGCACAGGTTGCCGGCGAGCGACCAACCACTGTCACATTCTGCAAGTATCACACAGACGCATATCAGGAATCAGTCTGTTGCTGATGTATTGTCCAAAGACTTTGATTTTCAAAGAATTGCAGTCGTCATCATGCCATACAAAATCAATCACAAGTTTATTAAATGTTTAGTGTCTGTATGAGCTGTCTGACAAAAGCAAGCCTTTTTATACTAATAATAATGATAATAGTAATTTGGGGGCTAAAAATCCTTACTGGCAACTGAGAAGCTGAATTGTGAAGGACGCGGCTACAATGTGGACAAGCTGAAAGCATGTAAAGGCATGTAAAGGCACCTCAGGCAGCCGCCATACGACCCATGTCTGACCACGGAGCACAGCCAGAGATCTAAAGCTTACTGTGACGCGACTTGTAATTGACTCACCTGAAACTCTGCTGGGACTTTTAATCTTGGGATTTCTTGAAATTTGTAAAAAAAAAAAATTGGGAGGGGGGATTTTTATCTTGCATTCTTGATTAATTACTTTGATTCTTAACCATACCTTTTGTTTGTAGTTCTCCAAGAGTTTCTGATGTGTTATGCTCTGTTCCATCTGTATGTGAAAAAAGTGGTATAATTCTTTTAGAGAGTCTGTACTACAATAAATACAAAAATACATAATTTGGGCGCTAACATGTTGCCAGTTCCTGGGTTGCTTCAACAAGTTTCATAAATGACTGCACCAGTTTCAAAATAAACCTGTGTAATTCTGGTTTGAGTGCTTTGAAAGTTTAGTTTTACTAACACGCTGGAAAATCCCAGAAGAATTGCTTGAAAGTCATGAGTGTTTGCTGACCTGGTTTGCGGGCCGGTTTCTTGCAGATGAACTGCCTAGCTGCTCTCAAGGAGCATGGGATGTCCTCCCAGTTCTGTGTGGAGTGAAGGCTGCGCATCATGATCATGGAGCAGTCTTCAAGAACATCCCCATCTGGCTGGGTGTAACCATCGCTGTGGTCAATAAGAAAAACAAGACAATTATACTGTGTCTTTGTGAATTGAAAGGCATATAGGATCATTTGCATTTATCCTAAAAGTAACCTACCGAATTGTAATCAAAAAGCTCACTTGGATTAAAGATCGTACTGGTACTAAACACCCTGTGAAATTATTCCGCAATTTAGAAGAAATTGAGAAATGTAGGAGATTTCTGATGATCAGTCAATTGACTTGATTTTTGGAATATTTAAAGAGTGCTATAGATGGAAATCGCATTTCATGATCAAAAGTTTGTGCATGGTTTTTCAGTTTGTGCCTTTAGTTAGTGCTACATCGATAACAACTGCTTATTTTCATGGCTGTACGCTATTTCTTAGCTTCAAATCAAGCCAATTCATTGCTTCTCTCCACCCAGGAGTAAATGGGTAACTGTGAGGGCGGAGAATGGTTATTGTGATTGATTTTAGCTGCTTTGCGCCGAAATGGCAGCATTGAGCTGTATACTCCCCAGGGAGCTGAGATGGAATGTTTAATTGGCCCAATGATCAGGAATAATAATGTAAAGTGATTTAATCTTAGTTAAAAGCACTACAAAGAATAAATCAAGGTATTATTTATTTTATTTCTTTCTGGTAATAAAACCAAGGATCCCTCAAAAGTGCCCTAGGCACTGTAGCTCGAAAGCCTGAAGAAACCTGTGGAGAGAAGACAATGAGAAGAAGTTACAGTTTTAGAGGTGGGAGGAAAAGCCCAGAGGAATATTCTGAGGAAAACCCACGAAATCAGGTAGGGACTGAAAACCCAATCCACATATTGGCCCGGGCGGGATTCGAACCCGGGTCACAGCGGTGGAAGGCGAGGAAAGTACCGCTACGCCAACCTCAGACTATCAATCACAGAGTTGGCAATTCCTCACTGGTTTACAGAAATGCAAGCTCGTAATGACTGAGGAGAAATGTTCAAGCTTTTTACCCACCTGTTAACCATCCAGTCGGAGTAACTGAGAGGCCGCCCATCAAGCCATCGGAACCGCCCCTCCTCTTGAATATCAGTTAAACCTGGGAGAGAAAGAGTAAGAAAGAATGAATGACATCACAAACAGTGAGCAAGTCAAGAGAAACACCCAAATATATAGAGGATAATCGAGAATAAGGTTTTCATAATTTTGGCTCCCTTCTCAATTCAAACTTTTTTAAAGTGAGTAGTTACAGGGAAAGAAAAGGACTGCAAATTGACATCTGAGATTGTTCAGGACTTTTGATGGAAATTGGGTTTATCATTTGATAAACTTTTTTTTGGCTGTAGTCGAGTCTATAATTAGACCTCACAAGTCATATTACAAGTCATCAAGTCGTAATTCAAGTCACAAACAGTGTCCTCAGTTGTCAGGAAAAAACCTGGAACATTCTAAATGTTTGGAAAAAAGTGTACTTTACAAATCTTGTAACCAAATTGGGGTGCCTCATAGAGTGGAAATTTGCACAAAAAATTGTTCCAGTGTAAAGTTAATATAATGGTTCCTTTTAAACTTCCTAGAACAAAATATAGATTTTCCTCACCTATATAAGTTGTTGTCTCCTCGGTGAACCAATCCGACGTCAGCATGAGATGTAGGAAGTTCATCTCGCCGTAGTCCCTGATGCTGGTCAGTAGGGCGCCCTCTATGGCACACTGCCTCTCAGCGTCTTTCCATTTCAGCGTGGCGTTCTCCTGGTGGAAGTGGTAGCAGTTGCCGTAGTATTCAGCCCAGCCACTCTCACAGCTGTAATCTGGGACCAAGAGCAACAGAGTAAGTTACTTTTGAAAACAAAAGGTCGAGGCAGCACAAAACCCAAAATTAAAATATATTTTCCCCCGAAACAGAATCCGAGCTGTAAGCAGGAGGTCGTGGGTTTGAGTCCCACTCAATTAAAGCTACATGGGAAATGTTCCTTTTTGTCCATTCTTTTTTCGTTTGAACAACAACAAATGGCTCAAAATCATAAGAAGGGCTCACAACAACTAACTTGTTGAAGTTTCAGCTCAGGGACTACTGTTCATTTTGAGAAAACAGAGAAAACATCTGCACAAATTTGGGTGTCTTGTAACCGGATTTCGTTGCTAACGGACATAACAAAAAAGTATCCACTGGCACATTTTTTTAAACCACCCTCAATGTTTGTTATCTTTCAAATGATATCATTTCAGTCACAATAATTTCACAGGGTATTTGGGTATTTTGTCAAAAGCTCATGGACAATGATGGACAAAAATAACGTCAGTGAGGGGCAAAACACAATATCAACATTTGCAACAATCTTCACACAACTTGTGAGCCGACCAGACAATTTGATTCTAAAGTCATCACAGCTACTTCGGGGTGTAACAAGCCCCTTACATGAAGTTTTGCAAAATTTGAAATCAGGCATATAATGTCCATATCCATCATGTTCAAATTAAGTGATGCATCAAAATGAAGAGCTGAGTTCGCTCTTTCTATTTTCGTAATGAATATGCATTAAGAAAGACGAAGTGTACTGTTTCAAATTGATCGTAAACAATAGGAATAAGAACTTGCCTTCATCGTAGGGACTTTTTAAAGACACCTTTGGCTGGAAGCGAAGGGCACGGTAGACGGCACTGAACCCCGTCCCCCCGCTCGCTTCTTGCGTCTCGAACTCAATAATCATCTGGTTCATGCTGGACAGGACCTCGCCTGGAGGCCGCCTGGAGTTGCAGAACTCCCCCCATGGCTCATCCAATTCTTCGTCCCCATCAAAGATGGTCACAAAATCCCCGTCGCAGGGGGTTTGGGAAGGGACGTCGAACGCGCTGAACGTCAGCTGGATGTAGGTGGCCGTGGGTGTAGTGATACGCCAGCTGTAGTGGGAGTGGGCCGGGTAGGGCAGGGGATGGTAGAGGGACGTCAGGACAGCCTCGGGAGCCTGGCACTCCAGGTGACTGGAGGCTGAGTGGAGCCCCACGCCACACCCTGGTAAATCTGAAGAGAAAAAAACGAGAAATATAAAGCTGCTATCACTGATTAGTTAGGTAGTTAGGACAAGGAGGTGACTCCACAAGCTCTGTTGGACATGTACTGCATCGACTACTCTCTCCAGCATCACTCTTCCTATTTCAGTTGTGTTCAGAAGGCCAGTGTCTCACCAGAAGGTACAAGGGTCTGACATCTTGATTCTGGCAGGACCTTTCTCAAAAGCAAATTGACAAGCAGGGGACGTGTCGCACAGTTTATTACCCATGCCGATTGCGAGAAACAAAACCAGGGACAGAAAGAAATAGTCAAGTTGGTCAAGGCCTAAAGTCCTCTTCATACTTCAGATGAACGCGACTGAAAGTGATGTCATAAAGCATTCAGAGCAAAATGAAAAGTACTTGCAACGTATCCCACTTTGTGAATTCTGTGCAACATAAATTGAGAAATCTGCCTTTTTCGTTTGCAGCTAGTATGAACCTAGTTTGAACAAGTCTGGTCCCTGACTCAAGCTCACCAGTAGACGTGTACGTGGCCCTGAATCCTTCCGAGAGGACATCCAGTCCGGTCAGGTAGAAGATATACAGCTCCTCCGACTCAGAGATTATCTGCGGCGGGGGAGTGCCACACAGCCTCCCCGTCAGCATGTCCCTGCCGGCACGCTTGATCCTGCTTTGGCTGATCCCATCTGCTCCCGTCACGATCACCGCGTCCACGCAGTCGCCGGTCCCGGAATCCCGCACCACACGGAAGTCAGGAAACTGCAAGCGAATGTATTGTCCTTTGGGTAGCTTGATCTGCCAGATGCAGGTACTGAAGGGTGGGAGGCGGGCTGGGAAGCCTTTGGTGGCCAGGACACCGCTGGGCTGTGTCAGGAGTGTGGCGTTTGTGCCGCAGTCTGTGGTACAGTCCTCCTCACTGCAATCTGTGAATCGGCGACAGAAAAGAAATGATGAGCCAGTGGTGTAGTCGAGGCCATCACAAGTCAATCACAAGTCAATCACAAGTCATCCAGTACAAACAAAGGCAATCTGTTGTTACTGCTCATCCCCTATAGACTCTGTGCATGAACGGTCGATGGAATGCTTTGTGGCCACTTTTGAGAGCACCAGGGCCCAATTTCACAGCGCTGCTAAGCACAAAAATTTGCTTAGCACAAAAAAAAGTCTGGTTTATAAAAGCAGGTTACCAGCCAAACCTTCTTGTGATTTTCACGCTAAGCAAACAACAGCTGAATACTAATCACGAGCAATATACATCACGTGGAGTTTTGGCCGGTAAACTGCTTTTATAAGCCTGACTTTTTGTGCTAAGCAAATTTTTGTGCTTAACAGTGCCGTGAAATTGGCCCCAGTAGGAGGGGCACACTGCTTGCCTGAACTATTGACTATTGACAGTTTCCATTTGTGGTTTATTTTGAAAGTATGGTTTGTGAATTAAACTTTAAAGGTAGACTACATAATTTGTCATTTGGGGATTTTTTGTTTGAAGAAACAAAAGTGCTCAAAGTCTAAAGAAGGGTGCTTAACAACTAACCTGATGAAGTTTCAGCTCAGCAAATGCTGTATATTCCGAGAAAACAATATTCTTAGATCTCGGTTTCAATTCAAAAGTTGCAATGTCATGTTTTGAATTGCGCCCGAAATCAGTGTCCAGGACATGTTCTCATTCAGCTGATTGCAGCTACGCGATGTTACGCACTGAACCGACAAATAATAGCATGTGTGTGTGTGCGTTGTGTCAACGCTTGCGTGCACCCTTTCACGGCTTCGCCGAATTAGAAACAACTACTAACGGAAATTTACAAAAATGCATCTATGCATCTTTGGAAATGGCTTCTTTTATTGTTTTCATCTAAATGAAAACATACCAGAAAAAATGATTTCACAGGGAGTTAAGTGCCATAACTATCTTTAAACCAAGTATGCTTTTCAACAATAATTTTGTCAATTACTTTTCGGATAGCTGCAAATGATATACTCAACCTTTAAAGAATATAACCTAATTCTTTCAACACTTCTCGTTCATAATGAATAGAGGGGGTGACTTTTTAAACATGAAACTGAAAGACCTACTGATGAGTTTATAGCTGGCAACAAAGCCCAGCTCCCGTGGCATGTTGGCGCTGAGCGGGCCGATGGTGAACACCACACGGACGTCGCTGGACCGCGTCACGACCTCCACGTCCCTCAGACTGCCACAATACCGCCCTCTTGTGAAGAGACCATAGCCGGGGATGTCGTCGGTGATCTCCAGGGAGTCAACGCATCGAGAGATCTGACTGTTGGCCGGTGTCACTTTTCTGAGGTTCATCCTGGAAATGATAAACCTGAAGAAAAAATAAAATGGAGGGTTGACGGATGAAAAACTAGTTCATGCAGATAAGATTTGAAGGTTCGGGTGGTGAAAGTTTTAGACTGCACCATGAGAAAGGATATTTTTCTGCTGAGCTTGTATAGTTCTGAAAAGAACCTTCGGTATGCTCTGCTTATTGTTTCGCAACAAACAACTTGATCAGCACATAAGCAATTCGGCAGTCGATTTCATGAAACTTTACACTGTGGGGAGCTCCACTCACAGCATACTTTATTGGGCAAATGTGCACGTTGCGCAACGTGTCAGTTTATGACACATTCATGAAAGTTTCATAATGAATAACTCCGGGATTTACACAACATATTATAGCATAACTTGAAATTTTAGTGTAATTTGAGGCGACATAAATGATGGCATAGTAACTGAAAATGGACAATTTCAATTTCTTATTGTGTTTGTCTTAGAGCCTGTCATTGCTCAGCTTATCAGACTTATCAGGGTTGATAAAAAAAATCACAGCTTTGTTTTTGAGGTAACTAAAGAGTTATTTATCCATGCCAGATCTTTTAGAGTTGCCACCCAACTTCAAAGAAAGTCTGACAAAACTGTTTTCCAAGTGGCAGGTGGAGGTAATTCGACAACCTCTATGTGATCGATATGAAATCATACAAACAGGGTTTGTAAAAGCTGTTATTATACTGCGTCAAGTTTATCGTAAAATGGATCGCAAGTTTATTGTAAAACCGTGCCACAAATTTGCTGCATAAGTCTTGCTGTAAATCAGGCCAAGTAAAAAAAAGAAGACGTTTCTTGTCCCCGCCCACTTCCTTTTTCCCATCCAACACCCCCCCTTTTTTTTTTAGAATCATTCATTGCAATATATACTTTTTGTTTCCAGCAAAACTGTTGCTATGTATGCAACTCCAAAATCGTGTAGAAAAAGGTGACGCTCCTCAAGACATAAAAGTATCAGCGACTGAGTCGAGAAAATGGAACGATACATCCGTCCTTGAAAAATCTACCAACTTGAGGAGACCAAAAAAAAAAAGGGCCACTTCCTTTTTTTGCGAAAAGTCAGGAGAAGAAACTTGTTTCTGTTTTACTTGGCCTTATGCACTGTTTCCTGAAATCGGCCGCTGCAGGATACCTGACTCTGTAAACCTCTGGTCCTTTGATGTCTACCGTACACGTTGAGCCAGCATCATACCAAGGGGCGTAGCTGAGGGACTGAATATAACCCTCTGGTTGTGTGGTCTTTACTTCGCTGGTGTCAGATGCCCAGAGAGCATTGCATTTCACATCCTCATACTCTGTAAGGTGGATAAGATTACAGAATCAAGGTTTTATTGGTGGTGGGTCCAGAACTTTTCAAAGATGAGGTAGTGAAGTCCAGGATTTTTTTCTGAAGGGTGGTCAAGATTTTTCAGATACAACTCAAACAGACACCAAAGGTAAAGGATTGAAATATCTAATATCTTATAAACGATATTTCAGGGGAAAGAAAATAGATTTTTCACCCTGATAATATGTAAATAACAACATTGGTTAGGGGGAGGTTAACCACCAGCAGCATAGCAAAGGGGGGGGGGGGGGTTTGGGGGGGCGTACACTCCCCCATAAAACAATTGTTGCCCCAATTCGCCCCCCGCCTTGTTATTTTGCTAGTCATTTCACGAGTGGACTTTTTTCAATGGTGCCCTTTAACGCCACGCAAACATCTTTAAATGTGCGGCCATGAAAGTGCCACCTATTATGCGATAGTGTCCGCTATAGTAAAATAATGTGCAGCTACACCGCCCCCCCCCTCCCTTTTGACTTTACTGAGGCAGGCTGACTGGTGAAAAAAAAAACCTGTATAGATACATTTCAGCACGGATGTACAGACATTGGGCACCCCTCCCCCCTCCCACTGTAACATCAAGCCCTCCCACTCGCCCCCCCCCCCCATGGTATGTTGGCTATGCCGCTGTTAGCCACCCAAAATTGCTTAATCTGCCCTTGTATATAGGACCTGATACATGAGTTATTGCAAACTGGAAGTAAACAATAAGAAAAAGGTTTTTTTTGACAGGATACTGTTATTTGTAGACTTCAAAATCCAACAAGGGTTGAAACAAAGAACCCAATCTACAAGGTTTTTTTAGCTGAGACAGCCAACTTCTAACATAGCATGACACAAAGCAGTTATATTTGAAAAGGTTTGGTGTTTTTTTGTGGGAAGGAATAAAAAAACTTTAAAACACTCTTGAGGCACTGGAAATTTTGTTTTTTGAAACTTTAAGCATGTTTTGAAAAAGGATTGTGAATTATTTCTTCTTTTCTTACGAGACCATCTGGCCTAGTCATAAAGAGTCAAATGGAAAGACGCACCACATACGTTCACTTGGTGGTGTATTATATATGGTATGAAGCTTGCTTGACAATCCGGTAACATTTCCATTTGAGGGGAACACATGTGGGAACACAATGGTAATGGTGCTTGTAAACCTTGTATAATTACATTGTATTACAATGTATTCATTCACTGATAAATGTATTAAACCAAAAAGTGCTGGAGCAATTTGAGAGTAGCAGGCATGGCAGTTTGGGGCAGTACAGGACTTAACCGACTTCTTGTCCCTCTATTTAAATGACAATAATTGCCAAGCTTTTTCAAAACTGAGTGTGTACTTATGTCCATTATTTCATTAATGTATTATGTGTACCTCTTTGACAGACGAAGGGTAGTTCATCTGAGCATGGGATGTCTTCAACCACGGTACTATCGTTATCAGTACGTACAGCCAAGCATTGGCTGTCTATGACTGACCCATTCACCTCAGCTAGCGCCCACGACAGGGACTCATTCAGTGCTGCATCTAACTGAGAAAAGGGAAGAGCAAATTGCTTTAAAAATCTTGTCACTCCACAAAAAACCTTCTTTTGACATCAAGTTTTACACAACCTTTGACAGTTCTTGTCAGCCACCCCGTCAATTGCTCAAAACAAATGATGTCGACAGCACAAATTTTGAAAACCGAGTATTCACCTACTTTTTTCAGCATAAGTCTTGATATTATTTTCACCAAGTGTGTCTGTCATTGTCATCCCACTCCCTTTTAAAAGATTTTATTCCATTGAGTATTCGATAGCTGGCTTAAGAGTACTAACAGCTTGTGCTCTTGTGTCTTTAAAAGGGAGGCCATTATTTTTCACAGGGTGTTTTGGGGTTACTTGACCCGAAAAATCTAACCAATGACCTGACCTTTTAAAAGATTGTATTCCATTGAGTATTCGATAGCCGGCTTAAGAGTACTAACAGCTTGAGCTCTTCTGCTTCTGCTCACATACTGTACACAACGCCCTGTTGGACTATCTCGGTCTTGTGTCTTTAAAAGGGATGCCATTTTTTTTCACACAGTGTTTTGGGGTTACTTGATCCGAAAAATTCTAACCGAATGACCAACTTATCGAGCGATAAATTGAATAATCAGATAATCGTTGCAGGGCTATAAAATTTCTCTCAGCAATAAGAAAAGTGATTGTTTTTCTGTTCGTTTTTCTTTCTTTTTTGGGGGTCCTTTAGGGCCCATCTCAATTCAAATTTGGCGAGTTCTGGACAGGTTCCGGAAACTGTATCAGGTATATGTTACAGGATTCTGAGCAACTTCCCCGCAATCTTCCCGCAAAAAATTTTCCCGGCACATGTCCGTGACAAATGCAGAGCTTCCTCTAGACAAAGTGAACGATTCTACCCGCAACTTGTCCTGAAGTCATCCTGGATATGTGTGAAGAAAACGCGCACGCTTGCGAATATGTGCGGCCAGATGTGCATGCAGGTGCGTGCTTGATTGTTTGAAAGTTTGTGTGACATGCGGGGTATGCGCGCGTACGGCGCGGAGTAAAATTGATGTCATTAGTGCAGAGTGCTATTGAGATGGGCCCTTACTGGTGACATTTAGTATATATTTTTTATAGTGCTCATTGATAAATCTACAAACTCTACAAGCCGGGTAATGGTTAATTACTCAGTCACACATCACAATGTCAAATACATTTATAAAGAGTCCCCCCCCCCTTCAAATGTCCAACTCGATGTTCTCCCTACCCCCCCCCCCAAAAAAAAGAAGGCCCCCTGGATTCTCCATTCCCTCACCCAAAGGAAGACGCTGTCTTCAGCAGCATGGGGGAGATGGCTGTTGGCTTCAATGCATGTTGCTGCGGCCTCCGTCCAGTTAGCATCCAGGGAAACCGTGCTGTAGCAACTGCTGCCCTCTCCCTCAAAATGAATCGGGAATAGATCCTGGACTAGCGACTCACAAATATCTAATGGAAACAAATGTGCATTTTAAAGTTTGGAAGACTTATTATTATTTGCTTTCTGTAAATGAAATTAAAGGATAACAAAAAAATGCCCATGCCATTGTAGCTCGCAAGCCTAAACTTCTATAGAGAGGCCAATGAAGAAATTAAAGTTTTAGAGGTGGGAGGAAAACCCCAGACAAATATTCTCGGAATCAGGTAGGGACTGAAAACCCTATCCACAGGACTGGAATTGAACCTGGACTAAGTCTAGTCCTCATAAAGTCATTTACAATTCATCTGTCCAAACTCAAGTGACCTTTCTTATGATTGACTTGTGATTTGACTTTTGATTTATAATTTGACTGATTTGTGATTGATTTCAGTGACTCGTGATGTACCGGACTACAATTCTGGCAAATCATAGCACACATGTGAATGATAATATTCAAGTGAAACATTAGGGGAGAATGCAGTAACTTGAACTTTATCTCAAGGCTTTCCACGGTTCAACAGGGTTTTATGGGGCGTAAACTTGGTTTACCACTTGTTTAATTTTGCATTCTTCCTCATTAGAAAAAACATTTTTTAATTCAAAGATTATCAGTAGAACGACATGGTCCAGTGGTTACGGAGTTTGACTCATGTACGAAGGTGCTTGGGTTCGAACCCTGCCAGGAACATGGTGTTTGTGCCCTTGGGCAAGACACTTTACTACAAATGCCTCTCTCCACCCAGGAGTATGAATGGGTACCTGTGAGGGTCGAAGACCGATTGAGCGCTGATATCGGCTGCCGCGAGGTCCCATGGCCTGATGAACGGGGTATTAATTGTAAAGCGCTTTGAGAATGTTGATATGATGGAAAGCGGTATGTAAGCACAATAAGTATTATTATTATTAGTAGTAGTCTGATTTGGATGATACAAAACCTACCTGAGCACGTTTTCAGGTCTGTTTCGTTGAGACGAAAGCCTTGTGGACATATGCAGTAGTAAGAGCCAGGCACATTGACACACTCATGGGAGCAGCCGTGATCCACTGACATACACTCATCCATATCTGTGCAACGGGAGTAAAGCATTTAGTTATATCAAAAATATTCCCTTGTAGACACTGATGGAAAGTGTGGTTGCTTTTGTGTCCCTGAGCAGGCACTTTACTGCAATGACTTCTTTACAATGAAGGCTTCATTTAAAGATGTATATTTTAGAGACTTGCTCCCAATTTGGGTAACTTTAAACCTGTGTATGCGCGGTTGCTTGGTTGTGAACTGAACTGATAGGCATCCATCCAGCCAATGTTGTTCAGGCTCTGTGTACAAATAGGTCTCTCTCAAATTTCTGCACATTCAAAAAACAAAAGAAGTTGTGCCTACTTCGATTGTACTCTTCACTGAGCTCTCGAATGTGATCAAAACGCCCAATCTACTGTTTGTGCACGGGTTGTATACAGTGCTTTTAGACTCCATGTTTAAAAAAATAGATGGCGCTTCATCTTCACACGTGAGAGATACTCTTCCACATTACAGTGCACACAATGTTGTAGTTAGAAATAAATTTCATACTAATGAATCATGTTTCTGGCAGCACCTGCAAAAGATCAACTAGTGACAGAAATATCCTTTTTTTTAATTTTGATATTCTTTATATATCAACAAACTTTCTCACCAACTTGACAAATTTGGGCCTTTCTGACATGATCAGCCACACACTCATCTTCCCTCCAGTTGAACAGGTCCTCAGAATCCATGGACACGCAGTAGTCAACAGACTGGTTGTGGCTATCCAACGGCCATCGGATGTTATTGTACGTCAGGGGCGTGCTGTCCACCCAACGGTATGAATCCTCACCCTGGGGCCAAGTCAGCCCAATCAAATACCTGAAGGAAAAAAAGAGATGGTTAACTCTCCCAGTGGGAAGTCAATATTCAGAGTAATATGTCAAACCCTTTAAATCCTGCAGGTCGGTTTCAGGTGAAGGGATATGAGGTGTTAAAGTAAGTGTGTCACACAGAGAGTCACTGCACACAAAAAAACAGAATATTGTGGAGAGAAGAAAAGTGTGACCGAATCTGCCTGCAATATGAGCTTAACCGCATAACAGAGTTGTGCAGGGATTTGAAGTGTCATTCTCAGTGCCAACCAGTACTGAAGACGAGGCCTTTTTCGAGTTGAAAACATTGCTATTAGTAAAGACAAATGTTGCTTCAAAAGTTTCAGCTAAACAACTTCCGACCGAGATCGTCAGTTTTCTTAGGCAAATATTGAAGGTAAACAATTAAATAAATTAATACACAAAACAACAACTGGAGGGAAAATTGGCCAAGCTGAGGAATATAGCAAGTCCATATATATTGCAATTATAATGACATGAACGGGAAGTTTAGATGAACTTTGATCAGGACCTTTATCAGTTCACACAGTGCACTGACATGGAGCAGCTATTGTGAAGGGTACTTGAGGGCACTTGACAAAACGGACTGAGCACTAAAAACAAACCAGGTGCTCCCATCAAATGCACTCACATCATGTGTACGCTTTCCATGGTAAACAATCACAAAACATCTGCCCTGGAAAGAAATCAGTTGGTAAAACACCTGTCTAACTGACAGAATGATGAATTGGTGGTCGGTGCACTGGAGCATTAGTCAAGAGGGGCAGGGTTCAAGTCCCTTGTCAGTCAAATGAAATTGTTTGTAATAAAACTGATTGAAACGAATATGTATGCATGCATTACACTGCAGCGTTGATAGAAAAAGGAATGAACCATGATCTTGAGGCACACCATCCTGTGCACCGGATCGACAATATTAAAGGGAATATACATCATTTGCTTTTGCTGTAATTTTCAGAAATGGATGGAATTGGGGGGGGGTTGGAAATATATAGCAAATATAGTTACACTGACTTTTTTGAGGTTTTGGGTTCGAAAATGCTATAAAAACCAAGAAAAACAATCATTTTCCTGTAGTCTGGTTCCCTGACTCCATATAAAAAGAAACAGAGCAGTTTACATACATTGGGGAATTGTAAGGTCAGGGAACCAGTCTAGCTGGCTTGTACCCGTTCATAGGTGTGTAATCGATTGCAAACAAGTGCGATGGTCAATTGGGGCCAGTATTTGAAAAAAAGCCAGTGTTTTCCAACGCTGGTCGGCTGACTAGCGTTGGAAATTGATACAAAAATACCACTTTTCTTGAAAATGACAGTATACCAGGTACCATGATTTTACAGGATGCTTTACACTGTCATTCACTAACAGTCCAGCAAGGTATTTCAAAATGATTTGGTAGTTTTATTTTTTGATGTTTGCAAATGTTGTATTTTCCCTTTAAGCATTAGACTGGGCAACGACAGTCATAGCCGGCGTCAGAGAACAGACAGTGATGGTGACATCTCAGTGCCGTACAGCAACCCCTGGCTGTGGCACCAACTTGATACTTGCAGGAGAGGTTACACATGTGCAGTCATGGCCTAGCAATTCAGAACACCAGACGCATGCTCTGGTGTTTCAGAGGCAGCAGAATGTGGGTTGGAGCCCGGGTCTGGACACTTGTGCACTAAAGCAAGGCAATTTTAACCATTATTGTTTCATGCTTCGGATGGGACGTAAAGCAGTAGGTCCCGTGTGTTGTGTAATGCAATGCACGTAAAAGAACCCAGTAACACTTATCGCTAAGAGAAGGGGTTTGCCCCGGTGTTTCTGGCCTCCTGTTAAAACTCCCCCGCGGAGTATTTAGGAGAAGAACCAACCAAGAACCAACTACCAAATCACCTGACTAACTCTGTCCGACCAATTTCAGAATCAGCCCAACTAATTCTGAAATGATGACAAATAATAAAACAGTTTGCTTCTACGGACCTTTTTATAATTCAGTAACAATGAGTGCAAAAGGGATCTACAAATGCTTATTCTCTATACTCTTGATACTCAGGAATTTATATACACCTTAGGGATGGCTACAATGCAAAGGGTCTGTCAAATGGCTCATTGTTGTTGTTGTCGTATGCGTTCAGCACGCTCTCTCCGCCAGCCACTCCAGGGCAGCTTCCTCGCAGTTGTGTAGGGCTTCGATCCCTCCGTCTAGTCTGGTAATGGGACAGTCATTCACTATGTGATTCATTGTTTGAATCTCTCCACAATCACAGCTTGGAGAGGCGGCGTATCCCCACTGGAACAGGCTGGCGCGACAGGGTCCAGCGTTCCCTCGATGGCAGTTGAGGAGTGACCACTGGCCTCGGGGAAGAGTTGTGCCTGGCAGTTGTTGAGTGGGGTCAGACACAAGATGCTTGTTCGGAACATCAGCCTCCTCCCACTTGGCTCTCCAAAGCTGCTCCATGTTGGGGTAATGGCTCATAAAGAGCTCATAAACCAGTGCACAATGATGTCATATGCAATCAACATACCTGTGTTGGTTTTCAATCAGAAGGTTGTTGCGTTTCTCCCATAGTCTACTCTGCAGCTGGTCCGAGTTGATGATCAGCGACTGACTGCCCTCACTGAAGATCTCCTGGCAAGCATCGGGGCTCTGGCTATTGATGGAGCCCACACAGTAGCCGTCCAGCAACAGGTTGGCGACGGTGCATATCCGACCTTTACCTGTTCAGGAGAAGTTGGATCCATAAAGAGAACAATGGTGGATGATACGTTCAGCAATTTGTACTTGCAGAGGCATTTTTGTAAGTGAGGAATGTGAAATTCTTAGGGATGTACAAATGTACACTAGCCAATATTCTGTCCTAACCTGTGAAATATGCAAAGCAGATCACAGAATTGTCTGTTATAAGGTTTAAGTTGTTGATGAAACGATATGAAACTGGGCCAAGGAGCATGTACAGGGTAAAATGACATAATGGGGGGAAAAAATGTGGTTTGCGCCATTTAATACAAATAACATAGAGATAAAGTACATATTATTTATTATAACACCTCACCCACAGATTCTGTGTCTTGATTGGCCGAGAGTGAGTCACATGGTACTTTCTATTTTTGCTATCTTTCAGTGCACGGCCAAAAGTACTATACCCGTAGCAACCAAAGTACTATACCATTAGCAACCAAAGTACTAACTATACCATGGCGCGGTATTTGTGCGCAAATGCATGCTGGTGTGCGCGTTGAGCGTATTGTTCCCAAGAGAGCGTGCCCCAGAGTTGGGTTCAAACATTTCGTGAAGGGGTGGTTTGGAAGAGAGAAATACATATATTTCCCACCAATTTGTATTGAAATTGAAGTTTATTTTAACTGTGTTCAGATTTGAATAATTTAAAATATTACAACCAAGCAGAATCTATGGGCGAGTGTTATAAAACAAATATTGAATGCTTTATCTTGTGGTGAAGTAAAACTAGCCTCCCTCGGTGATCCATGGAGCATTCTATTTTCCCCCTATTATCCAAATGCCTGTGTGCAATATCTGGTTCTCACTCAGCCCAGTAGCTATGCATTCCATGGACGGCTGGAAAAGTGGATTCCTTTAGTACAATATGCATAACTTTTCATAGCATGGATCAATTTCAGTAATTCCTTTTGCTAAATGAGTTGAAGAACATGCTTGTTTAATATATGCTTTGTTGGTGTGTCAACTTTAATAGATTTTTAAGGGGAAAAAATCATTAATCCAGGTAACTTTCTTTTTGACTGTAAATGGTAGAAAATGTTCCAGAATTCCCATGAGTGTACCGGTACTTCTGCCTTAGTATTGAACAATATTTCCCACAGCCCATAAAAAGCACCCGTTTTGTGTGAAGGTATGTATGGATATGCTTAAAATGCTAAGAAAATTCTGCTTGACATCTGGAGACATTTGGTTCAATAATAATTAGTTGTGTCAATGACTGGAAGTACTGTAGATTACACTGGTTCTCTCGCCTAGCAGAACATTAAAATACATGTAGATACATGTAATGTTCCACCTCATCAACCTTAAAGGGAATGTACAGCATTTGCTTTTGCTGCAATTGTCTGAAATAAATGGATTTGGAGGATTAGTATGTTATATAAAATATTGTTAAACTGACTTGTTTCATGTTTTGGGCTTGTAGGTGCTGGAAAAACCAAGAAAACCTATCATGTTCTTGTAGTCTGGTTCCCTGACCCCTCTTAAGATGAAACGAAGCAATTAAATACACTTTGGGGAATTGTAAGGTCAGAGAATCAGTCTAGCAGGCTTGTACCGCTTCATCAATTGCAAAGAAAAGTCAGAATAACTAAATATGAACAATTAAGAACAGTTTTTGAAAAAAAGCCAGTTTTTCTCCAACGCTGGTCGGCCGACCAGCGTTGAAAAAATACAGTTTTTCTTGAAAATGTCAGCACACCAGGAGCCACGATTTTAAAGGATGCTTTAGACCGTCATTCCCTAACAACTGAGTAAGGTATTTCGTGATAATTTGATCATTTCGTTTTTTGATGTTTGCAAATGTTGTATTTTCCCTTCAAGTCGAAAATGTGCGATATCAACAAGAGCAAAGATTGTAAATGGAAAAAGCATGTATTACCTTCCAAGGGGCATCCAGTGAACTCAACCCGCATACAGGCTGTGATGTTATGCCAAGCATAGGGCACTATGCGCACTTGACTGGTAATGAAAGGTCGATCCAGGTCGTTGCGCTTCTCTGAGTTCTGATCACTGTTTCCTTGAAAAATCTGAGGAAAAAAAGGATTTTTTTTTAGAAAGTTGTTAGCATCAAATCTTCTTTCACCCTCAATCCCTGCCCCCCCCCCCTCCCCTTCCCCCCAAAAATGAGTATCTTGGCATTTTAATCCTCCCTCATCGCTTCCTAAAATTGGGAAAAATTTAACTTTTCTATGTCAGATCCAATGTGACATTGCCCTTTATTTTCAAGAACATATGACCTGGTTCCCCATTATCAGAATTACAACTGACCAACATCTCAAGCAACAGCTCTAAGGACCTAACTTTTGATCCTTTGTAGCATTTTTCTCAACCTCTGAGAAAGATTCAGCAAGGGTCAACACCTAAGGCCCTTACTTTTATGATTGATATATACAGGGTGGATAAAAAAAACCACGAAACCAAGGTATTATTGCTAATTGGAACAGAAGTAGGGCACATGTGAATAAAAGGGAGATATTCTCTGTTTGGGTTGAATCTCCTCTTTAAAATGACACCCTGATCATGTCCTGACATTCACGATTGACTGAGCAGTGACCAATTTTATGAGAGCGTCTATTTAGAGAATTGCGCCACTTTTCAATTTCAATTTATTCACATGTGCCCTACTTCTGTGCTTTTTTTTGGGCTGTCACTTGTCACAGAGTGAAAGGCTATTGTTGCCAGTCAAGGCAGGTGGGGAAAAAAGAGATTTCACCATGAAAAGTGGCGCAATTCTCTAAATAGACCTTTTCATAAAATCGGTCACTGCTTGAATGTAAAGAAATGATCAGGGTGTCATTTTAAAGAGGAGAATCAACTCTATCAGAGGATATCTCCCTTTGATTCACATGTGCCCTACTTCTGTTCCAATTGGCAATAATATCTCGCTTTCCTTTTTTTTTTTATCCACCCATATATACATCTGGTCACTCTATATAGTAGGAGATTTCTGAACTCTTTGAGTCTTTACGTCCAGTCTATAAGCACATAAGGAAGTTATTAGAAAATACTAGCGGGATGCTGCGCTTCGCACGGTACCCACTAGCTGGTCAGTGCGCCCTCAATTGACGTATTTTAGAGAAGGGGTTCATTATACAGTCAGGTTTTGAAATGCATGTGTTTTGGAGTGTTTTCACAGAGATAATGTTGTAATATTGAACTATTCAAAGTCTCAACGAAACAAATTTGCCAAAAAATGTGGTGCCAACCGTGACTTCAGAGGACAGTGAAATTGGTGCATATTTATACCAGTTAACGACCTCCTTATACTGGATGAACGCATAATCAGAGTTTTTAGGCCTTTTGCAAAAAACGTGACACACAGACATCAAACAGACAGATAGACATCAGACAGCGTAGGATCTTTCGATATAGCATTAAGTAATTAGTAAGTAAGTACTTGTTATTGGCTTGTGATTTGACTTGTTACTGGCTTGTGATTTGACTTGTTACTGGCTTGTAATTTGACTTGTTACTGACTTGTGATTTGACTTGTTACTGGCTTGTAATTTGACTTGTTACTGGCTTGTGATTTGACTTGTTACTGGCTTGTAATTTGACTTGTTCCTGGCTTGTGATTTGACTTGTTACTGGCTTGTGATTTGACTTGTTACTGGCTTGTAATTTGACTTGTTACTGGCTTGTAACTGGCTTGTGATTTGACTTGAGAGTGACTTGTGAATTGACTTGTGACTGACTTGTAATTGGACTTGTTGCTTGAATTGTCATGTGAATTGCGATTCACATGACTGAACTCTGCCAGGAAGTACCAATAAAAAAAAAAGACAGGTTTTTTATCAATGAAAAAGCCCACAGAACGGAGTTAATTTTGACCTAATTTCTGTAGTGTGGCAGATGACAAAAACACAGCATATGGTCGGATGTGCACACTGGAACTGATTAAGGTGGAAAAGGATTTCTTTGTTTATTTAAATTCAAACAGTTAGCAGCTCTGGTATTTTTAATTTCCTCTCCAATAAAATATTCAGTAAAATGTTACATGGGCTCCGAATGGATTGACAATAATCACAAGCTAGCCACAAGCAGGGACCACATACAAAGCGTGCATTGAAGTGGCCTAGCAATTGCAAATTGCAAAACAAGACAGGTTTTATTTATTGTTACATTTATTGTTGAAATCTGAAATGTGTCCGAATCGCTGACTATGTATATTATCACAACCCTTATGACTGTGAAATTCGTCATCCTATATTTATTCCATCTTTTCTGGGGCATATTTACAACTAGCAGACGGTACCATCAGTAAGATTAAGCACCGATCGAAATTCAGCCCCACAGACTTACGAAAGCTGGGATATGACACTGTTTTTTGCATTGTAAAAATATTATGCAAAGAAGCACTTACTGTTGCTGGCAAAATGAAAAAACACTGAATTTTGGGGGAGAGGGTTTTAGGAGAGTTTAAGCGGTATTGAAACCCTCAAGGCATAACTTGGACGGCAAAGAAAAAGGATCAAGGATTTTTGATCGGGAATATCAGGAGCACTCAATGGAATGCAGGGCAATTACTTCCAAACTGGCAAAATAAATGTAGAGATTATACAAATGCATTAGGACCAGTGGCGCCTACTGGATTTAGGGGAAAAGATGCCCCAGGCGCACTATGATTCATGTGCCTGACAAAATACTTGGACAAGGTGAGGGGGAATATTTGAAGTCTTGTTGCATGCGCACGATTTCCTCTACTTTAAGCAAATCCTCCTGCATAAAGAGAGCTGTGTTAACTTTTTATAGAACTGTAAATACGAGGGCCTTAGGTGTTGATCCTAGGGGAATCTTTTTTAAAAGGCAAAATGACAAGGGAAAAGTCAAGAAAAACCAGGAAACGAAAAGCCGAAAGGGAAAGACAAATCTTACAAGCAACCAAAACAGCTGCTTTTTCCCTACAATTTTTCACACAACTCTTCTGAAAGAGTAACACAACTTTGTTATCGATCAGTTGCCAATGTTTTTGCATCCAAGGAATTCTTTCTAGTCCAGTTTCGACAGACAGCTAGCCTGAAACTTTATGTTTCAATTTGGCCAATTTAAAGAGGCAGTTTTGCACGACATTTTGGGTCGCGTGCAACAGCAAACGCCTAACAATTGCGTTTATGTTTTTCTTAGTAAGTACGGCCCCGCGGCTACCTGGCCATTAGTGCAACGGGTCCCCAGTTCCAAAAATAACCACCAAAAAGCATCTCCTAATTTTTACCATTGAGGGTACTGCACAGCGTCCAAATTCCTGCAAAAACATTCAATAGCCAAAGAAACTGATCACTTACCATATCATCTCCTTGTAAGTCCCTGTAGGTGCGGAACGCTCCCTCCTCATGGGGACTCAGCCACTGTATCTTGTACTCCTCCACCCAGTAGTAACGCCAGGGGTTACCGGCGCCCTGCGTGATGACACCGGTGATGGTATGGAGGGTTCCCAGGTCCGCCTGTAACCATTCCGCAAGGCCCAGCTCATGGCGAGGCCCCCAGCAACAGTATCGGCCTGCATAGGGTGGGACGACAATCTCGTAGTGCAGGCGTCCGTAGCGGGCTGGCCTATAGTAGAAGTTTGAGGAGGTCGAGAGCTGACTCCTTGTGATGGCGCCAGACTCCATGCCAAGACGTTGGCCACAAGCTGCCAATTGAACAAAACCAATGCTATGTGAAGTGTCATCTGGAGCCAATTATAATACACTAGGTCAAACAAGATATGACTCAGTGTTGTTTGAGCTACTTCACTACTTGTCTGACAGTTTAGCAACTTAACAACTTGGGCCAAGTTCGGGCAAGGACCATTAGTCGACTAGTGGTTGATTTGTGACGTACCTTACGCCTGCGCACTGGTAGCAACGTGCGAACGTCTCTAGTCAAACGCTGGTCAAAATGTCATCGCAAAACTTCTGGATCCTGGCTCTCTGCTAGCGTTATGAATGCGCGCGGCTATTGGTTACCATCGAAGCAACCAACCCCAGTAGGCTGGTTCCAAATAGTCGACTAGCGTAGTCAACCACTGTTGACTAGACAGAGTTCGGGCAAACGTTAGTTAACCATTGGTCAACTATAGTCCTTGCGCGAACTTGGCCTTGGGTGGCACTCGAACCAGCCAGCAACCATAGCTACAATCCCGGCCAAAATGGTTGGGACACGCGACAACCACCATACCCTGCCCCAGTCCACCACTCCCCCTCTCCCCTGGTCAATGTTGGTATCTCCAGCCTAGACCACAGACCACGCAATGAGAGACAACATTGACTGGGGGGGGGAGGGGCGGGGGAGGGGGGCCCCAGGAAGATTTGCCCGAGATTATAGCTGTGTGGAAATACATCTGCACTTATAATTAGAAGGTTTTGGGTTTGTGTCCCACTTGAGTGATTTTTTTAATTTCAGTACTCAAAAGCTTTCAGACAGCGCTAAATAAAAAGTGCTTATAATTATTACTTTGGTGAAAGGCAAATGCAATTTCTTTTTAAATTATTTTTCAATTCATTAGGTATATTTATGGCTCTTCAGATATGTGCCATGTTGGCATAGAAAGTCGAATTAGCAAGAGGCAAGGAATCAAACCAAAACCCAATTTCCAAAATACCTGTCAAATATCCAAATTTCATACAAAACATCCAACACCTTCATACAAGTGGTACTTTTTTTAAAGCTCTGTATCCACACTGTATTTTGAATTTCAATAAACTTCAACTTTTCATAATGTTGCCGAGAACAGATGTTTAAAAAGGAAGAGTTTATTTCCAAAACACGACAAATCCATTTGAAAAAAAGCGAAAATTTTCCACAATTATGAAACTTTTCAGAATAAAAAAACAGAACGAAAACTGTTTCTAAACTTCACTGTTTGCTATATTGATTTATTAACCGTCACTAATGGATCAAAGTCTATCAGGGTACAATTGTGTAAAAGACTGTATGGCTGGCATGATATTGGTACAATTGACAGGTTAAAATGGCTGCTACACAAGCAGTACCGGCATTAATGGTCAACCAATCCAACTACTTAAACGGGCTTTGGCAGTTATGCGGTGTAATCCTGAGGGATTTGTGGTAGTTGGTGACCAGCCTGAACAAAAGCTACCGAGAGAGGTGGGGGTCAGGTATATTTGATAGTTTGTGATAGTTACAAGGAGGGTTAGGTTGTGTTAAAATACATGAAACCTGTCGAAACTAACCTTGGGCAGCCAGGGGAAGGTGAAATTCTAAAAGGCAACAAAATGGTGTTTATTGCGTTTTGGAACTAAACTCTTCAAATGCTGGCCCTCAGCAATGGCTGCTCCTGGCACAAGAGGCCACTTCTGTCCCTTGAACCACTGCAACTCTGAACTGACTTACCACGGTGCACACACCCAACGAGTTCAAGTCGCAGCCCGATGCCAGCAGGATGCCACATCACCGGGTCGATTCGGACGTAGCGCGTGGTGATCTCCGGTAGAAGTTCGTTCCGCACGATGGTGTGCTGATCAGAGTTAGCCAGAAAATCCTGTAAACCATGAAAACGATAGAAGCAAAATGTCAGAACTAAGAGCTGATAACATCACTTGAAATTTATCATACAGTACTTAATGTGCTCCTAATAGTTAGATTCCCTAGTTTCCTTTTTCCACAACTGAAGGGAGCGAATGAAAAAAACCCACCCCTCTCTCCCCTCTCCCCCCCCCAAAAAAAAGGGGTGGGGGGAAAAAAGGAAAAACCGAAGCCCATTTTTTAATTTGTTTATTTAAAGTTTGTTACTTGCTAATATTTACAAATGTGTTTACATGGTGGTTTTTTTTTTACTGTGAATAACACCATCTAGTATCACATGGTGTTTAGTTTGCCACCCCCACCTCCCCCCACCCCCACCTCCCCTCCCTGCCCAAAAAACCCCAAATTTTCTAGACAGGATTCTTTCCGGCTCATATCTATGAACCCAAGTACTTTAAAACATGCATATAAAACTACAAATGTACCATTAGGGAGACACGTTATCGTAATTTCTTCGACAATAGGGAGACACTGATCATTAGGGAGACATTTTCATGTCTCCCTAATTCCACAGCCCCCCTTTAGAGGCAATCAGGTTATATTTGTTGCTCGTGGTCTAATTAGTAAAAATACCGAAATTCGTGGAAAAAGGACAAGGGAATTTTGGGTTAGGGCACATTTAAGTTTGAAAAAGTTTGTGCACAAGTCTATGGCAATGTCTCCCAAATTACCCATTCTCGGTAATTATTATTTATACAAGTATATCAACATATTTTTTCTAATTTACTCAATTGGTTATTTAGTTTTTTTTTGAAATAAAGTCTAATATTTTTAGAAATAAAGTCTAAAAAAATAAAATTTTATTCAACAAACAAAAGCTTTCAATGCATTGAACAATTTGAGTTTATATAATCACCTTTGTTACACCATCCTGGTCCACGTATGGCTGAAACCTAACATTGGAATCGTCATCCACAGGCCCCGAGTAGTACATCCTGAACAAGGTTACCCACAACTCCCTGTTGCCGCACCCTTGCGTCAGCAGGGCGTGGACGTCATGGCTGTGCCTCAGGTCCACCAACAGCCACTGCTGGGGGTCACTGGTAGCCGGCACCCAGCCAGTGCTCGGTTGCTGGTCCAGCGGGTTAAGGCGTGCTGTCTTGGCCGAGTTGGTCTCATTGCTGCTGCTGGAGGATGTGATCTGGGAGTCCAGGACCCTACCGTCCGACAGTCCTAGCACCGTGTCACAATCTGTTGTGTGCACAATATCACAGATGTTGGATGGTTAAAGGATTCACTATGAATCAAAAAAATATCTAAAACTTCTTTGTTTTACTGATGTCCATGTAAGGAAAACAAAAAATCATAGCTCATATTGGCCGCTGATTCGCAGTACACATATCAAGCCATGCACAGATTCATAGTGCCTCTGTCATGCCCCAACTATAGTATTGGTCCCAACTATAGTCTTAAGTAACTATAGTTGGGATTGTCCAAACCACAAGTTCGGACAATCCCAACTAACCATAGTTGGGACAATGCTGTAGTTGGGATGAAACACCCAATTATCATTCTGAGGCTGTTTTATTATTGTAAAATAATGAATAAAATAGAACTGACTATAAATACCCCAAAAAGGAAGAACTTTAAAAACTTTATTTGAATTTTTTTTTTTTAAATATAACTGTTTTAATCGTTTTTAAATTAAAAAAGTGGAAATGTAACAGTGGACAATTACACTGTTATGGAGGAAAGCTCGTTTTTTCAGAACTCGGTTTTTATAGTTGAGTGTAAAACATTGTCCGATAAAACAGTAATACCATTGAAGAATTCCCCATTTCAACCAATCAAGACAGAGAATAGAGTTTGCCAACTAACCATTGTCTAGACAGCCAATCAGATCCATGCGTAGGTGAAGGGCGTGGTTCCAGAGGGTGGGGATAATTCTGATGCAGGTGGCCCTGATGGGGGTAGGGAGGATGACAGGCCGGCGACAGGTGGCTTCTCCATTGGCTCGGAACACCTGAGGTCATTAATCAATGAACTAAATATAGCATGTTGCAACAATGGAACAAAATGTTAAAAAGGGAAGCCCTAATACATTTTTAAGGTTTTGCCCTAAAAATGGATTTTTTAAAGTTGATATATGGTTCTAGATCAATTGTTATTCTGAGAACTACCCTTTATTCGGGGTTTACATATAACAAGTCACATTTCTGAAAACGAAGAAGTGTCTTCCACTTTTTCTTTTGACAGTTCAAACTTTCTGTGGCTTTCTGAAACTGTGAAAGGGTTACACACGTTGATTTTGCAAAACCAAACAAAATGCTCTTGCAACACAACCTTCCATAAATCCACACCACTGTTTCTTAAAATACTATGATGAGACAGAGAAAGACTTGAATATTACAACATGTTGTTTTTGTTTTTTTATCTGTCACTTAATATGCCAATACCCTCCACATGGTGTGCACACTGGCAGGTGCTCATATGCTTATCAGAGCATAACAATTAGTAGAGTGTGCAATAATCATGGCGCTTTCACCATGAGAGACAATAGTGAAGTGTAACTGAGAATGCAGTACCGCGAGGGCTTTTAAGCAATCATATGAAAATGGAACCCACCATGATCTCCGGTTCGCGATCAAATTCCCTGAAGTCCCTGTACTTCCACCAGTTGAGTCCCTCCTGGTTGTACTCCAGCTCAAAGTCCTCCACCCAACCCGCCTCCTCCCCAGTCCCGCCTCCCTGTATCAGGACCCCAGACACCAGCATGCGTGACGGGAAGCACACCTGTAACCAGTGGCCGCCGTCGGTGGTAGCGTTCGGGTCCGGCTTCCAGTAGGACGGACCCCCGAGGCGAGCGTGCTCGGGCCCATGGTCTGGACCTGCAGAGCTGGAGGCTGTGATGTTAGCGTCAGGTATGGTGCCATCCTCCATGCCCAGTTGAAGCGGACACTCATCTAGAACACATACAGTAGAGGGGTAACAGCAAATAACTACAACTAAGTTACTATCAATATAATGACACTTGGATTTTAACCAGTTTCTTACCTAGGTTTTTAAGCCAGAATACATTCAAAAATTTGTGTCAAATTTCGCAAATCCTAAATTGGGAAAGACATTGGATCATAATATTCATACTGCACAAATCTGGACGCAAATCTTATCTGAAAGCCCCAAATCAAGAATGATTATAAACAAGAATAACTACAAGAAGAACAACATCTATAGTTTGGCCATAAAAAAAGGGTTCTGCTTCCGATTACATGGCATTTGAAAATAGGGTAGGTAGGTAGGGAATTTTTTTTTTTTGCCAATTTTTTTTGTGCACAATCATATGGAGGTGTCTGTGTGTTGTCAAGGGTAAAAGGTAGAAATTAATGGGTTTCGTTTTTTCCCCTCATTTTGCCCATAAAAAAATTAGGGTACGGGCTGTCAGAATAGGGTAGGTAGGGAAACGGAAGCAAAACTATTTTCTTTTTGCCTTATCACATTACAATTTTCTGATAAAATAGCAAGCCCTGGTCCAATCAATTTTTTTCCAACCCAAAATACAAAAAAAACCAAAACAAATCACACAGCTTTCCAATCTTTGTTCTTTGGATATTAAACTCATTTGTTTTTGCTTTAAAGTAAAAAAAAAGAGTAATGTACTCAGGCACAAAACTGGGAAGGCAAAAAAGAAGAAGAGGCATTCAAATCTTTCCAAGACTTTTTACAGTGTTTTTCTATTTTTAATGGCACACATGTGTAGTAAAAAAACGAGGAAATCAGCTGATCCGAGGAAAAGTTGCATGCCAGTGTACTATTAGCCAATTTTCAAGGGCTTTCCAAACAGTTTAAACTCCAATGGACGCAGTATGCAGCAGTAGAAACTACAGAAAGAAATGATCTTCGGGCAATCGATGAATACAGTTAGGAAAAAACATCTGTGAGCCAACTCGCTCGTATCATCCCAAGTCGTAATTTTGCAAATTCCCAAGCCTGGGAAAAGATTAATACCCTCTAAAAATGGCCGTCCTAATGGCAGCAACTCTGGCTAAAAGCCAACTACCCGGTATCTCTGAACCCAACACATACACATAAGGCTAATAGAGGTGTTGCTTTTTAGCAGAGATAGGGAACATTTTAATTAAAAAAAAGCCCGTGGCCACTGACAGTGTCTTAACTATTCCCCCGTGAATGACGGATTCAAGAGAATGTCAACAGCACAGTGACAACCAAAAATTGGCTGCTTGGGGAAACAAATGCCACCTGGACAACTCCTGTTGAAAGCATAATCAATGCCTGTGGACACGAGAGTTGACTTTTAATTACTCGCATTGAGAGTAACAGTATCAAAATGTGACCTCAGAAAACGCAAATGTGAGCATGCCTGCGGCCCAATACTTCAAAATTAGCATGAAGTCGTTGGGTGCTTTGTGTTACAACATATTTTATTGAAATGGATAGAACAGAGGTTTTCATAAACGTAATGATATGGGCTCCGTGCACAAGTACCCCATCCATCTGAATTTGTCCTGCACAAAATTGTATGACTAAATTTCCCAAATAAAAAACATGCACACAGAAACTTTAAGTACTTTCCAATGCATGCTCACAGGGCACGGGCGCCCTCCACACACGGCCACAAACGTGTGTGATCAATATAGGCAGTTGTACGTTTTAAAGAGAAGTTTTGATTAGACAAGAAATAGTTATTGCCCAAATGCCGGTGGTTAACATTGACCAATCGCAATGTATTTTGGAACAGTGATAGGCAAGGGTTGGTAATGTGTATCACGGTATCACCGCGCGAACGGAATGTTTTGACACAGCGGCTGCTGAGTTAGGAGAGAACACGCAGTATGATTGCAAGATATTTCCAGGCACATTCTGTGCGTAGAACGCGGGAGTATATACAGGGGAAAATGCTTTTCCTTTAAATTTTCACTAATTGCCGGAGACAAATTTAATTTTAAAAACATCAAATTTATATGATAAAATAATGTACAAATCAAACTGTCTGAGGGAGAACGAACAAAAATATTAGCATAAGTGATTGATCTGTCACGATCATCTTTTCAAAAAAGTGGCCTATTTCTAACATTTCCTTGTCGCTTCGCACTCGCATCCTGTGTGCGCGGGCGCGCAGTTGTTAAGTTCCCCCAGGGAATTCATATGACGGCCAGTTTGCTGGCAACAAATATGATCTGTGTAACTGTTAGGCAATGTGTAATATAACTTGAAATGTTCTGCTTTTTTCAAAGCCCAACATTAAATATGAATTTTGGATTGGAGTGTACGCAAGTTTTCTAAATAAATCATATGTCGAGATCTACTCACCTGGAATCGCATTAGCTTGGTAGGCATCGCAAACTATGGGGGGAAAAAGTCAGGGAAAAATGGAATAAAATAGAAATGTTTCAGTCTGTATAAAATTTTCTTTGAACTCAGTCTTCTTTGAACTCAGTTTTTTTCAGAACAACCCAGGGTACAACCATGATTGACACATCCAGTTCAAAGTCTGTAGAATGTTACAAATGACAGTATTCCAAAACATCTGGAAATAATTGATTTTCTTTCAGTTGAAGTATTTGGTATCTTGGTTATATGTTGGCATTTGAAATCAATAATGATGAAGAATTCAAACAGTTCACAGACATTTCTAATGATGTGGTGTCACATCAGTTGGGGACCAAAAAGTACAACATAAATTAATAGAGAGCACGCACTTGTTGCTTGGAGAACTCTTATACAGAATCCATTACCTTTGGAGCCAACAACATTAATTAAAGTCATAAGCCTCATGTTTAGGTCGATTCAGTCAGTGCCATGTTTGATAGATGATCATTTTAAGGGTAATCAAGGCACTATACATGTATGTAATACCTTTTCTGTGATGAAGTTCATTATGCTTTTGAACTGTCAAGTGTAAGGAGACTATATTGACATGGTGATTAGCCCGAGTCATACTGTGACATATTAAAATTGCAGTGCTGTTTGAACATGGATGGTTTATAGAGCATGTGTAAACGGCAATACTGCATGAACACATTATTAAATGCCCGACAAAGATGGATTGTATTCAAGCTAATTTAGGCATTATTAACAAATCCGACGTCTCATTTTTACAAAATTCTGTAGACTTTGGCTGCAGACTACTCATTCATGCTTCCGGGGTTACGTCCTTAAGTCACAATTCGACAAACAAGATTGGCGCTAAGGCTCAGCATATATAGCTAATGTTTTGAGCATAGAAGCCTGGTTTAAGAGATACAGCCCATGGCAAATCAAGAAGACGGCCAGATCTAAGGACTGAGGAGAGTCAGTGCTGCAATGGATTACAAGTAAATAACAAGTCCAATGACAAGCCAGGCCACAAGTAATAGGAGAAGACCACTAACAAAGTGAAAGTCTTTGTCACAATTAATTTCAGTGACTCCAGACTGCATGATTTTGAGTGACTGCATGCCTTTGGGTGATGTGACTGACTCAATATTACAACAATATTATTATCAGAGTGCATACATGTAGTTCTCAGACTTTGCAGTGTAGGCATTACACTTACGGTCCCTTGCCTTTGAAGGTAACACGGGCAGTAATCAAACTTGACATTCTGGGTTGTCGCTAAGATAATTTTCCCCACTGACTAGACTACTGCAACCCTGCATGCAGATCCAATTCAAGACCAGTTCCAAGATATCCCTTCATGGACTGATAGAAGCAACATACACAGGTGACATATTGAGCTACATTTACAAACTTTGGCTAGGGTTTTGGGTTTGCAGGCTACATGTACATACTTTTACGTAGGCTGGTGGGCTTCATATACAATAAAGCAGCAATCAATAGCCTTAGACAATACATCAAACCTTGATCAAACTCAGAGTTGTAACGAGTCACTGATTTTTGTGACTCCAGTCGAGTCGAGTCATTTTAAAGAAGTGACTCGAGTCGAGTCGAGTCATAAGGTCAAGACGGTCGAGTTGAGTCGAGTCACAGTGTGTAGTCGAGTTGAGTCGAGTCGAGTCATGTATTTAGCTCGAGTCAATTCGAGTCACAAATATTTGAGCGTGCTATACAATAAATAAACACAAGAGAGAAAGTCATTTTTTGGCTTTTTAAATTTTACATTCGGGCTACTACATGTGAAATAAAAAGGGGGTGCCAGCTGATCGTCATTCAACTAATGTGGACACTGATCAAACCACGTATGTACATGTATACATTAGTCGCGAACATTCTAATGTGACGTGAACAAAAACCGGCACCGGCGTAAGTCATTGCAAATATTTTTCGCAAAGTTTTGCTTTTATTTTTGGGACTCGAGTCTCATTAGCCTTCCTCGAGCCGAGTCGAGTCATTCTGATAAGGGACTCGAGTCGAGTCGAGTCATTTGCCCTTAGGGACTCGAGTCGAGTCGAGTCACCAAAAATTGTGACTCGAGTCGGACTCGAGTCGAGTCATTGACTCGAGTCATTACAACTCTGATCAAACTAAGTCAAACTTTTGAGACTAGTACATCTGATAGTTCACGTTAAGGCGGTGATTCACAAACCTGCTCAGACTAAGTGACTCTGCACAATCCATTTTGAGCTGTCACATGCAGTCCGATGCAATTACAGTACAAGAGTTGTGTGAACAAAGATGAGATTTGTCCATGAAAGTCCGATATATATATCTGACCTTAATTTCATCTTGAAAGTGCATGACACTTTAAAGAGAATGTACAGCATTTGCTTTTGCTGCAATTTTCAGAAATAAATGAATTTGGAGGATCAGTAACATATAGCAAATATTGTTAAAATGACTTATTGCACGTTTTCGGCTAGTAGATGCTGGAAAAACTAAGAAAACCAATCATGTTCTTATAGTCTGGTTCCCTGACCCCACTTAAGATGAAACGGAACAATTTATAGACTTTGGGGAATTGTAAGGTCAAAGAATCAGTCTAGTAGGCTGGTACCCCTTCACAGGTGTGTAATCAGTTGCAAAGAAAATGCGGAATAACTAATTAGGAAAAATTAGGAGTTGTTTTTGAAAAAAAAGCCAGTTTTCTCCAACGCTGGTCGGCCAACCAGCGTTGGAAAAATACCATTTTCTTGAAAATGTCAGCACACCAGGAGCCACGATTTTACAGGATGCTTTAGACTGTCATTCGCTTACAATCCAGTAAGGGTTTTCGTGATAATATGATCACTTCGTTTTGTGATGTTTGCAAACGTTGTATCTTCCCTTTATTTTGTCTACCTGCATGACCTGTCACCTTTCCAGCAGTAACTGCCTCAATGTGTCGAGTTGTCATGTTCCAATTGTCACGTTCCAATTGTCAAGTCCCAATCTTCACCAACTCTTGCGAGTACTTTCTAACTGAAAACGCACAAATATTTCAAGGGGGGCAACAGATCCATAATACTCAAGTTGTGTCTCCGTCTTGTCAAGTGTAAGCATTACGAGTCCTGCATCACACAAAGAAATCACGCTGCATGCATCCTGCGCAATGGGACAAGTATAAGTGAGTGCACTTTTGCTCTTATTGCAATGACAGTATGCCATGAGTAAACGTCTTGACACATTTTGAAATTCATTCCTCAGGCCGGACAGGAAGATTGTACATTACTTTGTTGCCCCTTCACGTCACGTACACATAAGTGGCAGGGATTTTTGCCATATATACATCTATGTGTTGAGCACTTCACACGTGTCATGTTCATGGTGTCAGTTGTCACACAACTGAATCACGGGCATGCACTCTGTTCAACTTCAAATATTGAAGCTCTGAAACAAGTGCACATTTTTTTCTCAAACAACGTTCTTAACGCAACGACAGCAGTATGTTACTCAAATTCTTGGGTTAGAAAGATTGTATATTGGCTACACATGACACATGTTTTCGAGTAACCCTACTAACATTTGGATATGGTGTGGCGATACTATCAGCGATAAGTAGGGTCCAAGTTATTCGGGCTACAAAATATGGAGGAAGTCCAGTATTTGAGACATATTTAAGGTGCTACATTTGTAGCAAAAGGCAAGTCTGGTATTCCAACTGTGCATGTGCACACCAAGATAAAGCAATTTCTACTTCTGCATAAACACAAATGAATCTGAATTTACCAATTTTTCCTTCCTGTAAAAAGATAGAAACTTCCATCTGCACACTTTCCTGTTTAAAGCTCGGAAATCCATCCATCAACTTCAAGTTCGTTGTTACCTGCTATTCATAAATTCTTAAGACAGTTTACTCATTTATAGAGCCCATCATGTGAGTGGTTTTAAACGGTTTATAAAACATGGGCCACATCGCGCAGTTCGCCCTACATGAACAGTACGCGCCAATCTACATATTTTTGTTTACCACTTCTCCCGAGAGGCACATATACTATACATAGTTAGAGGGGTGTTTAAAAAAACATGAAGTAAAATTGTTGGAAATATTTTTTTGACTTGTTTTGCCTCTTTCACCATGTTTACCAAAAAGGTATTTATGAAGGGGAAGTGTGCTTGACCGGTATTATGGGGACTGGTTGTCAATAATATCAACGTCCATTTCCCCTGCTGGTCTTAAACGGACTTGTGTAAAACTGGCCAAGCACACCTTTATTCCCTTATTATCATGCACGTGGCAGACTTTAGAGCTATACTAGACCCGTGAACATGGCTTGTAAACTACGCCACGCTCTTGTACATGTTCGAACCAAGCGAAATCGTCCTTCCGTGACAAAGACTGAACACTGCCTTACCGTGTGATAAGTATTCACATAGGCCCTATCAAGCTTTCTTGAACATGTTGAAATCTGCTTTTACGCCAAATCTGGCATTCAAACGAAATTCGAGGTAAAATCTGGCAAGATCTCGGCGTCGAAGTCCTGCAACCTCCTCCTGATGCATGTGATTTACTACCTGATAAATGCTGCGGATAATTTGGTATCGCACTGACGCTCCGGGCATTCCTTGGGTACTCGTCCAGGGTCATTTGTCAGGGTCACTTGTCAGGTTAAAATCTAATTTCTACACGTTCGTATGGGTCTTCATTGATGGCAAATTTCGTCGAAATGACACATCCTGAACACGCGAGAAAGGCAAATTTAGATTTCTAGGTAAGTACTCAACATCCATACGAAATTATGTATGGCGGATCGATTTCGCTACATGTAGGTTCCAAAATACACAACAGCGTGGCGTTGTATACAACGCCACGTTCACGGGTCTAGAGCTATACATGTACATGTCGGAGTAACCCTACTTATGGTGGCGCCTTATTGGGGGGGGACCGTCTGGCCTACTTATCGCAAAATCATGTCAAAATAAAAAAAAGCAACATTAAGTGCCTAGGGTCAGTTTGATCGGACTATAGTCTTGTAGTACATAACAACAGCATTCATGCTGTGGATTCTATGCAGGACGTCCAATCTTAAAAGTTGAACTTGAAATGTTGAAATGCGCAAGCGTATATTAATTTAGAATACTGAAGTTGAACTGGCATGACTGGTTTTGTTATTGAATTATATATGGAGCTTTTTAAACATATCCCATTCGATCAATCACTCACTAGCATGTTTACTTCATTTATCACAAGTGCACCTGCGGCCTAGATTTCCATTAGTATTCATGAACTTACATGAAGGCCTATCCATCAAATAGTCCGAGTAACTTGGACCCAACTTATCGGACATGGTCTGGCGATAGTTGGGTCCAAGCTAATAGTGCATGCCGAGCAACACAATTCTGTCACTGGCCCAAAAACCAACATTTTCCAACAAAAAACATCAGATTTCACCTTCAAAACGGCCTCAAAATTACTAAATATACCACCTGAGGTACAAGTAGACATCGATGATTAAGATGGTTGTACTGAAGTTTACTTATGATCAGGATAAAAAGTGAAATTTCCCGTTCAATTCGGAGAGCTCCCCTCGCGATCGTGAACACGTTAAAGGGAATGTACATCATTGGCTTTCGCAGTAATTTTTAGAAATGAACTATTTGAGGGGTTAGTATAATATGATCAAATATTGTTACACTGACATGTTTGAAGTTTTGTGTTCGAAAATGCTGGAAAAACCAAGAAAAACAAAATGTTCAAGTAGTCTGGTTCCCTGACTCAATTAAAGTTGAAATGGATCAATTTATAGATGCCGAAAAATTGTGAGGTAAGGGAACCAGTCTAACTGGCCTGCACTCGTTCATGAACATGTAACCAATAGCAAACACAATTTGGACTGAAACAAATGGTAAATTTGGAGCAGTTGAAAAAAATAGTTAGGTTTTTCCAACGGTGGTCGGCCGACCATTGTTGGAAATGAATACAAAAATACCATTTTCTTGAAAATGACTTCACACCAGGTGCCATAATTTTACAGGATGTTTTACAGTGTCATTTACCAACATCCTAGTAAGGTATTTCGTAAAAACTTGGTAGTTATATTTTTCGTTATTTGCAAATGTTGTATTTTCCCTTTAAATTTCCGACTCGTGTTAATATTTGAACGACACAATTTGGTCTTCATGCCCAGCGTACATTCGATGGTCCCCGTATCCCGAGTGCGTTTCCGTTAACGTGTTCACAATCGCGAGGGGAGCTCTCCGAATTGAACAGGAAATTTCACTTTTTATCCGGATCATAAGTAAACATCAGTACAACCATCTTAATCATCAAATGTCTACTTGTACCTCAGGTGGCATATTTAGTAATTTGGAGGCCATTTTGAAGGTGAAATCTGATATTTTTGTTGGAAAATGTTGGTTTTGGGGCCAGTGACAGAATTGTGTTGCTCGGCATGCACTATTAGCTTGGACCCCACTATCGCCAGACCATGTCCAAATGTTAAAAAAGGGCGATAAGTTGGGTCCAAGTTACTCAGACTATCCATCAAACAACATCATAATTCATACCAATTTAAGACAGCCCTAGGAAAACATCTTGCATCACAACCTTAATTTCTTGCGTGAAGTCAAACTGGATGATGATACCTAGCGGCGATATACAGTTAACTTTCTGAGATTCACTAATTAGGCCTAACAAAACACTTCCGACGTGATTGCATTGTACACAGTATTGTATGCAGACAAGTCCAAGACGAATATCCACTCATCACTCATCTTAGCCCTATAAATGCGGCCAATTTACTGGACTACCTCTGTAAATAAAGGCCACACTTGGAACATGTACCTAATATGTAGAACTTGGTCAAGTTTTTATTTTCACATTTAGACTTTGTGGTAATTATTAATGCTTTAGAAGCACACTCAATCTCTTTAAAGTGATAGGAAATTATTCCCCCCCCCCTTATCAGACGTCTACATTTCGTGTAAAATAAAGCATAAATAAACTACAAACAAAGTCTAAATGTGAAAATAAAAACTTGACACATATTCAGGAAGGCCTACATGTTCCAACTTAGTCAACTCAGTAAATTGGGCTTAGTTTAAGCTAGCCCCATAAATGTGGCCTATTTACTGGACTGCCTCCGTAAACATAGGCCACACATCCACATGTACAAAAACGTGTCGCACTTTGCCAAATTTTGATTTTCACATTTAGGCTTAGTTTGTAGGGTTTTTTTGCTTTAGAAGCATACTCACCCTCTTTAAAAAGGCTAATCAGAAAGTGCTGCCTTTTTCAGATGTCCATTTTTCGTGAAATTTCTAGATACATTCATGACATTTGCACACGTTTGCGTATCAAAATTTCAACATGAAATTTCACAAAAATTAGACATCTGAAAAAGGCAGCACTTTATGATTAGCCTATAAAGAGGGTGAGAATGCTTCTAAAGCAAAAAAACCTACAAAGTAAGCCTAAATGTGAAAATCAAATTTTGGCAAAGTGCGACACGTTTTTGTACATGTGGAACTGGAAGTGTGGCCTATGTTTACGGAGGCAGTCCAGTAAATAGGCCACATTTATGGGGAGGCAGTCCAGTAAATAGGCCACATTTATGGGGCCAAGTTTAAGCAACATACACTCATCTACAAAGCTGCTGCTCAGCATTAATTAAGCACTGCCACTGAAGCGATTCTTTCTCCAAATGACAGGAGATTAACCTCACATCATGTTAGAAACCAATTAGGCTCAAGTTAGGCCATCCAATCCATGTTTTTTCTAAGTAATTAGCAACTGGAAAACTCACAGTCAAAAATTCCCACCGGCAGGTCCGCTGTACTGTCATGCATGACCGTCGATGTCATGCGTGCACGTGTTGTATACAAGTTTAAATTAGCCAGGCTACTGTTGCGCATCCTTCGTTGTTCGGTCATATCAGCACGTCAAGGTACCATACTTCTAATTTCTGAAAAGCCTTAACATTACGGCTACGACTATTCACAATAGCCCCCAGTAGTAAAATACCCAAAAGTAGGCGTGGTTATGATTCCGTCCTCTCATTGGTCTAAAGTAAGGTAATAAGTTGAGAAAAATGAACCGATAAAAACATCATGTTTGCAACTTTAAAACAAATTGTCTTTTTTGAAAGTTTTTTAGTTTTTAAATTTAAGGCCCAATTCCGGAAAAAGGCAAATAAAAAGATTCATTCCTATTTTCCGGTCATCAAAACGTTACCAGGGAGATGTTTTTTTTCCCAGAAACTATAAAATGTTGAAGATGTTGAAGAAAAAAAACAATTCAGTTCACAGTTGCACAAGACTAAAACTGGTTTCCCGCCCATTTTTGCGCTCAAAAATCATCTCTCAGAACAGCATTATGCAAATTATACTTACTTTTATCGATCCGAGTGAAGAGATCTATGGAAATCCCGCTCGAGGTGGTCCGATAGATATCCAGCGTGTGTAGGCTCTGATCCGTCAGAATACACCTCCGATCGTCGAAGTAATACTCCTCGCGATACTCGAAGGACCGGCAGACGAAAGTCCGCTCCTCCAGGCAGAAACGGGCGCAGTCCTCCGCCGTCATGTCCCACCACCAGCCCCGGTGGTATCTGTTGTTGTTGGCCGGGATGTAGATTTTGTAGTGGCGCTGGAACTGCGACAGGGCGTCGGATTCGCCTGGCGATTACAGTTTATTTTATTTCATTGATGATAGCTTCGACTTTTAAATTTGATACCAATTTAACTTGTGGAACTTTAATGTTCATGTTGTCATATTTTTGTCATAATTATGAAAGCCACAGGAGTAGGGAATGGGGGGGGGGGGGGCGTCAAGCAGCCGCACTGTTTATTATTTTTTTCACGAGCCATAGATTTCGGATCCCCGATGCAGAAACACAGACCTTGCTTTCGTTTGTAAACATCGAGCGCCACTTTGTACGCCAAAAGGGCACAGTGGCGCACCCTGGGAGGGGGGGGGGGGGGGGGGGGGGGGGCCTGGGGGGGGGGGTGGGGGGGGGGGGGCCCCAAGATGTTGTCAATTTTTAATTATTTTTGGGGGTCAATTTTTTTTTGGTCCCACGAATTGACCTTGATGATATGTATGTGGCCTATTTTCGAGAAGTTTAATATCTTAATTGGGGTGTAAGTGGCGCCACCAACGTCAAAATAGTCCCCCCCCCCCCCAAAAAAAAAACCCCAAACAAGCCAACCCCCCCCCCCCCCCCAGCCAAATCCTGGTTGCGCCGGGCATACACTTAAAAAATCTAAGCCGTTTTGACAAGAGATTTATCTAACTCCATATTAACACCCTCGTCATGTAAGAAAAAGGCATCTGTATTAAGTCTTGGTGGAGTACGTTTTGAAACATTACTAAATATTCTTGCAACGCTGACATTCATACTTTAATCAGAATTTACTAACCCTTGTTTGGCCAAAATGCCAACCAAAGAAAGGTATGTTGTGCCTTCCTCCCACCCCCCCCCCCATTTCAGAAGCCTTCCTCCCCCCCCCCCCCCATTTCAGAAACTTTCCACTGTTAATGTCAGCAACTGCACTGCAGTCGCTTATTCGTACTGTGAACTGATCCTACAGTGAATGTTTTGTTAGGTAAAATATAGGTTTTCCCGGCCAATTTCGTGAAATGTTCATTCACTTCTGAACATCGGTCATCCGTTTTCGTGTGAAGTTGAATGCACGTCTTGAATCCCATTTCAATTCAACGAAAGTTCAATCGTTTTCATTGTCCGTGCATTCGGTTTTGAGAAACAGACGGCCAATTACGTTACCTGTGCATTCATTTACGCAAGCATACCTTTTCTGAATTGATTTCAGGTACAACTAATTTGAATGACGGTTAATGAAAAAAAGAAACCACTATTACATTGTATCTGGTGCCGATGGCATTAAACTAAACGTGAATAGAATGGTGAATGTTTGAAAACGCCCTCTAAAAGCAAAAATGAAGTCTTGTAAACGAATCTGAATGGACATAAACGAAAAGTGCTGCTCAATCACTAAATGATTGAACTGAAATGGAATCGAATGCTCTGGTAGCGAAAATGAAACGCGTGTTCAGAGAGATTCTCAAATTCAGACGAAAATGAATGACCGATTTTCAGAACTGAATGAACATTAGGAAATTGGCCGGGAAAACCTATATTTAATTGTTTGTCACGCGAAACATAATAAAGCAAGGTATTAAAATACACATGAAAATGGGAATATTTCTCATCCTTACACTAACACTAAAAAAGTAACGTAAAATATAATGGTATCGGCCATACATACACCGTTCTCATCTTTTTTTCTCTCGAATCCCCACACTGTCGTACACGTAAGTTCAGGCAAAATATTAATAATAAAACACGACGCCAAGGACTGAGCCAGATGGCGAAGGATGAATTGATATTAATGGATTGTCAGTATAAAGGCTCGTCATTTGCAGGGAACATTATTTTTTTGTCAATGTCTTTTGTGGTTTACCTTACCACTCGAGCCACAAGTGGGCGGTAAGGGACCGATGACGTCATCCTCAGTGGCACTGAATCGCATCCCTCAATAATTGTCACGTACAAATTGTTTTGTGTTCTTTTTTCTGCTTCTTTTTTTTCACATGCAAAGACAAAAACTATGCCTGCATGGCTAATTTTGTTGGTTTTATCATGTCTGCCACCAATCTTAAAAGCATGCTGATACCATAAAGTGTATACTCACATGTTTCTATTGGGCAGAAATTTCTCCTAATTTGCATATCTTGGTCTCGATAGTAGCACCATGGTCCAGTGCTATTGTCGGGGTTGCGACAGTAGTTCTCATCTAAACCTGTTGTAAAAAATGGATTAGTGAAAAGAAAGGATTTACCTATATAGGGCCAGGGCCTACCCATTTTTTTCTAAAAGAATTTGTTGTCTTTTTCAATGACAGTCGCCATCACGCGGCCAAAAGCTGCTCCATGACGTGGCCGCTATCCACACAAATTGAACAACTAAAAAACCTAAAACAGTAGGCCTACGCCTACATTCAATTAAGGGGGGATGGGAAAAGTGCATTGTGTTGATCGATGTATAGGTTTTCCCGGCTATTTTAAAAGATTTTTCACTCAAATTCACCAACTAGCCTATATCATTTAATTTCGTCCGCGAAAAATTGCACAAGCTTTTAACAAAATCACTTTAGTCATTTACCATTCAATTATAAAGTTTGATCACCCTATTAAGTCAACGCGGTCGAGAATATTCGTCATTACAGATCAAATTCGTCATTACAGATCCAAGTCCAGGTCTAAGCTGTTGCCAAATGGCAGCATTTAGATATAATATTCGTCATATATAAATCAATTAGACGAATTTGATTTCTGAACACGATTCGGCGTAGACGAGACGAAATCGAATACTCCGGGTCGAAAACGTGCGCTCATTGTTTGAATTTGCTTGAACCGAATTTGAAATTGTCTGACAAAAGACGAAATTAAATATTAGAAGTGCACTAAATCGATGTTGCTGGACGAATTTGAATATACGAATCGGTGAATTCGAACGAAAAATGTTTAAAATTAGCCGGGAAACCTATATTATCTTTAATTTACAATTAAACACAATTGATCTGTTTCTACTGTAGGTTTGCCGGCTATTTTAAAACGTTTATCATTCGAATTCATCGTTTCTAATATTCACATACGTGAATCAACATCGATCTATATGCACTTCCAATGTTTAGTTTCGTCTTTGCCAGACAAGTTCAAATTCAGTTCAAGCAAATTCAAAGAATAAGAACACGTTTTTGTCCCGGAGTATTCGATTTCGTCTCGTCTACGTCAAACCTTGTTATTCAGAAATTAAATTCCTCTAATTGATTTATATGAGACGAATTCGATCTCTGAATGCTGCCACTCGGCAACAGCTTAGACAAATTTGATCTGTAATGACGAATATTCTCGACCGGGTGACTAAAGAGGGTGACCAAACGTTGAAATGGAATGGTAAATGACTAAATTGGTTTTGTTAAAAGCATGTGAAATTTGTCTCGGACGAAATTGAATGCTAGACTATGTTTTGAAATAGTCGGGAAAACCTATAGTAGAATGTCATGCAGTGTAAAAATCGGTTTGTTAGTGCTATTTATGCATATTTTGTTCATAATTCTACACGCTTTGTCAGTAATACTTTCAATTATTGTAGGCCCTTTATTCGGCTAATTAGGATTAATGGATCGATCATAATATCCATGGCATTTTATTTGTAACCAAATGAGACATGTTTTATTCTTCAGTTGTTTAAATAACAACTGTTACGGATATTAAGTGTTACGGATGTTGTTTAATAACTTATTAGTAACTACAGGCGTCGTGCATACGGTATTGATGAGTGAGAAACAAAACGGGAGGGGATAGATGCATCTTTGTTACACACATTTTTGCAGGCATGGCACCCTGTTTGTTATTTATATTCGACCATGACCTTATCCGAATAGCTGAGCGAGCCATATACCTTAAGGCTTTATTTTACAAAGTACGATGACATTGTAATGCAGAAAAAAACAATTTACTGGTACAGTTGCAAACATGAAGGCAGGATCGCCAGCGTGGAATCAATACCCCCATCTGTTTGTATAGGCCTATTATGGGTCTCAATTAGCGGTATATTTCATGTCTTTTCATTTTATTTCGTCGACCATTTCAAAGGCAAAATGCATTATTATGTCACACAATGGCCACTGACTCATCCGTTGGCGCCAAAATCACAAAACATCTGATGTGAAAAGGCAAAGTCTGGAGAGGATGACAAAGGCACCGATACAAAGCAAACTGCTCCGTAACGGATTTTCTGAACAACAGCTAGAACAGTTGAAGAGGGTCTTCGTGATAGAATTGACAGCGTGTCCGGATTGCTCTATATGGTAACTGCTAAGTTCCGACACCCCTTTTCCGACAACCCGTTAGGCGGAACATAGGGGTGTCGGAACATAGGTGTGTCGGAACATAGATGGGTAGGAACATAGGTGTGTCGGAACATAGGTGTATATACCACCAATACTACCTTTAAAATGCACGAAAAATTGTGAAAACCATGATTGGAATGACTTGATGTTTTGATAATTATGCGAGATTATACTGCCGGTTTGCCTTCACGCAACGGGCTGGTTGATTTCGACATGTAACATTATCACTCTCAAATCAAAAATATAAAGAGAATTGAATATTCTACATTCCACATTTCAAACCGTTTGAATGAAGATTCATGATGGACCTATTTTACCCCAGCGTTATCTAGTCTTTGACGGATGTGGTTTTGCTTGATAGAAACCTTAAGGCATTTCCCTTTTAGCAGTCGCTTTCAATATAGGAAAATTACACTTTTGTGATATACCTGCATCTGGGTACGAGGTTGAGTTCACGTCTTGGTCTTGTACCTGATCCCAATGTAGGCAGCTGTAGCCACTCTCCGTGAACATAGCCTGATCACGATAGTCAGTCCCGTTACCCGTCATGCATCCAGAGTGCGCTGGGAGCGAGGTGAATAAATGGAGTTTTAAATTAGTATTAAGACAATGGTTTAAGGAATTGTGCACGGGACACACGAAACCAAATCCCAAATATGAGGGCAGTTGTATCTGGCAGTTTTATCCGTCAGTGACATCGCACCATTCATCAGATGGAACCCCACCCCTGTGGTTGTTTTTCCTCCCCGTTCTGCCTCTATTGGGAAAAAAACACCAACGCACTGTAACCTGTATTTTTGCAGGTAAACGATTACGGGTTTGGCAGATCTGAAGGTTCTGAAAACAAATGGCGCGTGATGGGGGGGGGGGGGGCACTTTAATTAATGGCCTCACTTGGTAAGGGAGGGGCACCTAGGAGGGCGCAGTTTTGTTTGGGTAAAAACAAAAGAGTTACCCAAATCAATGAGCGTTCTCTTATTGTGTCTGACACCTCAAATAACAATAATGAATAATAATAATTGTGCTTATATAGCGCTTTCCATCGCATCAACGATCTCAAAGCGCTTTACAATTATCACCCTGTTCATCAGGCCTTGGGACCACGCGGCACCGATATCAGCGCTCAATCGGTCCTCGACCCTCACAGGTACCCATTCATACTCCTGAGTGGAGAGAGGCAATTATAGTTAAGTGTCTTGCCCAAGGGCACAAACACCAAGTTCCTGGTACGGTTCGAACCCACGCACCTTCGTACATCGAGTCAAACGCCGTAACCACTGGACCATGACGTTCTATACAAATAGGCTAATGCATGTCATGGGAGTTTGCCGATCAAGAGTTCGTGTTTGCCTTCCCAAAAATTCTGAGGAGGGGCACAAGGGACTGGGGGCAGGCCTCGAGCGGGTTCGTTCCTCATGCTCCCTCCTTGATTACGTCACTGGAATAAAATGTTTATAAACGCAAAGAAGATAAATATAATTTGAAAGTAATCAAAACTAAAATCCAGGTGTAGGCCCTAAATAAAAAAAAACTTGTTGAAAAAAACACCCCAACTTTTGTTTGACTCAGTAGGTGAACAAAAACAATTCCGTGTTTTGATCCATCGAGGACGAAATGCACTAGAGCGCCTTATTTCATTTTCCGTTTATTCTAGATTCTGGAAACTGAAACGCTCAATGAGCAGACTAATTACATACAACGAGATCATTCATCATCTCCGAAATGAGGCCGTGTAAAACAATACCGGGTATGTCATACAACAGTCTAGGGTTTCAATTTTAATGGCCTGAGGTATCCAGGATTTTCAAAAAGGGGGGGCACAAAAACTTTGTGCGCGTTGCACGCATAACGAGACTGAAGCGCGAAATCCCTTGCGGGCGGGGTTGAGGGCACTGGAAGCTCTACGATTTTAGATGTTCTCTCCATCATGAGTATTTTAAGCCATTAAAAGCAAAATTCACAATGTTTATTTTTTAATTTCAATAACACTAATTGTTTCTATCAAATATAGAATTTAAAGTCACTGTTGATGTTAGTTGAAATGAACCCCAAAATTAGAAGGTGCTGATGACAGCCCCCGGGTGAAAAAAAATGAACATGTGTTATTTTGCGAGCGAGCGGAGCGAGCGAGCCAAAAAAAGTCAAGTTTACTATTAAAACATACATTTCTAACCAGAAATTTGCCTTGCAAACAAATAAAATAAAATAAATTGAATTTCATTAGGGGACAGCCTGCCCCAAGCAGCCCCTACCCCCACCCCACCCCATTTTGGTTGATGTTATTGTCGTTTCATTTTTTTTTTTTTTTTTGCTTCCATCATCATTAATAATATCCTTTTCGTTTTGCCCCTCTCCTGTCATAAAAAATTTGATGATATTAGCAAAAAAATTTTTCGTAACGTTTAAACGTTTAGTCAAGACTTCAAAAAGACTGCCGCCTGTGTCCCAGCATAATGTGTGGTAACTGCGGTCACATATATACTTACTTTGTATATACACTTGTATACACTTTAAGTATAACCACCATTTTTTCCATGTTCTTTTGAAATCTGCAGGCTAAATAATTTAAGACGAAATGAATCGTCTGCATTCTGCAAGTGTTGTCCAATCACTTCAAGAAATGTCAAGGCCAGAGGAAAATCGTTTATTTGTATTTTTTTTGGGGGGGGGGGCTCCGATTTTCTTAAAAAGAAAACAAAAAAAACAACCTTTTATTTAACGGAAATGCAAACTACATCCAAATTCCAATTTCCAAAATATGAAAAACTTTGCCTGCACAAATTTCCCGAAAGCGGCAGCATTCCTGAGCTGCCGCTTTCACATACAAGGTTTCAAAATAGTCACATACAAGATTTCTGGCTACGCAACTGGCAGTCCCAGGCATCACAGGGGAGCCTCCTAGCAACAGTATTTCTAAGCAACCAGGTTGGAATGTGATGGGCATGCAGCCATGCACCTGTGGCTCAGATAGCTAATCACTCCAGTTGCGCGTGGAAGGAAGTCATATTCATGAAAGCAGACGGTCCGTGATGAAAGCAACCAATGGCATATTTATTTGCCGGCAACCGGCTCATTTCATTGGCTGAGATACTATTATCACTGTTTATCATCTAAGAATCTTCCAATTACTGACGGCAAGTTCTCAAAGGACAGCTGAACCCAAATGTATATGCTTTGTAACGAACAAGAGTGGCATTGTATCAATTTGAACAATGCGGCTATCAATCATTCTCTGGAAAGGCTGTTCGGAGCTGAGATTTTATTTGGGCATTTTTTTTTTCTCAGAGACAGGGGAAAACTTTATGCGAAAAATGTGGGAAACTGAATTGAACGTGAAATTTAACCTCCATGTTGTGTACATGCACATAGTTAAACGATTGGGGAATGATATTCCAAATCCAAATAATTCATTAAATGTAGGGCTCCCGATGTCTTTTTTTTGTAGTACGATTTTATTCTTCGCTTATTTAAAAAATAAAACTGCATGGCCTACATTTTTTTGTAAATGTTACTCTAGAATATAATTATTTCGGAATACATTTTGAAATTAAGTTTGAAGTCAAAGGGCTGTTGATAATCTTATTCGTATTCCTTTTAAAATTAGGAAAAACTAAGCATAATTCTTATTAAAATTTCCCCTGGAATCTACAAAAGAATTAACTGAGAGTTCAGAACTTAATGGGCAAGGGTGTTTGAAATCGTTTTACTTTAAAAATAAATCGAGAGAACAAGACATACTAAATCGTATAAAATACCCCCTATTTATTTGATGTCTTTCTCTATCTGAGGCCGGGACAATATAAAAGGGATGACGATTAATTCTTCGTGTATTTAAAAAATAAAACGCATGGCCTACATTATTTTGTGAAAATGTTTTACTCTAGAATATATTTTGGAATATATTTTGACGCTATTTTAAAAATAGGAAAAACCGAGCATAATTCGTATTAAATTTCCCCTGGAATCTACAAAAGAATTAACTTGGAGTGCAAACTTTAACGGGCTAGGTGTTTTTTAAAATCATTTTGCTTTTAAACAAATATTTAGAGAACCAGACGTAAATCTCTCTCTGAGGCTGGGAAAATAAAAAAAGGGGATGACGATTTTATTCTTCATTTATTTAAAAAAAAACCACATGGCCTACATTATTTCGTGTACCGGTACATGTTCTACTCTAGAATATATATTGGAATATATTTTGACATGAAGCATTAAATGCAATCAAGTGCTGTATTAAATGTGCCCCCTATTCCAGCCGGGAAATAGAAAAGTGTCTTATAAAAATATATTCTTGCTTTGAAATAAATTTTGAGACAATGATTGACAGGCGACCTTCAAAACTTATACATTGTATATTTTTGTTGATAATTATGTATGATAGTTATGTTCAAAGCGATTGATTTGATGACCGCCCGTCCGCCCGCCATAATGACTCCTCAAAAACGAAAAAGATAGCCATGTTCTCAAAGGGATGTATTTAATGCCCGCCCGCCCTAAGGCCAAAAAAAATAAGTCTCCGGTTTCTGGTATGGAGCTTGCCCAAAAAGTGGTGCGGCAACGCGGCTTTTTTTTTTTTACCCGATTGTTTTGCCTCAAATGTCGGCTGATGACTGCAAATGGTGCCCGACTAGACTTAGTGCAAATACATGGGAGTCCAGAGAAGCCACATAAAGCTTATTCTCGATCATAACCCCATCTAAAAACTTGCCCAAGGGCACAAACACCAAGTTCCTGGTACGGTTCGAACCCACGCACCTTCGTACATCGAGTCAAACGCCGTAACCACTGGACCATGACGTTCTATACAAATAGGCTAATGCATGTCATGGGAGTTTGCCGATCAAGAGTTCGTGTTTGCCTTCCCAAAAATTCTGAGGAGGGGCACAAGGGACTGGGGGCAGGCCTCGAGCGGGTTCGTTCCTCATGCTCCCTCCTTGATTACGTCACTGGAATAAAATGTTTATAAACGCAAAGAAAATAAATATAATTTGAAAGTAATCAAAACTAAAATCCAGGTGTAGGCCCTAAATAAAAAAAAACTTGTTGAAAAAAACACCCCAACTTTTGTTTGACTCAGTAGGTGAACAAAAACAATTCCGTGTTTTGATCCATCGAGGACGAAATGCACTAGAGCCGGGAAATAGAAAAGTGTCTTATAAAAATATATTCTTGCTTTGAAATAAATTTTGAGACAATGATTGACAGGCGACCTTCAAAACTTATACATTGTATATTTTTGTTGATAATTATGTATGATAGTTATGTTCAAAGCGATTGATTTGATGACCGCCCGTCCGCCCGCCATAATGACTCCTCAAAAACGAAAAAGATAGCCATGTTCTCAAAGGGATGTATTTAATGCCCGCCCGCCCTAAGGCCAAAAAAAATAAGTCTCCGGTTTCTGGTATGGAGCTTGCCCAAAAAGTGGTGCGGCAACGCGGCTTTTTTTTTTTACCTGATTGTTTTGCCTCAAATGTCGGCTGATGACTGCAAATGGTGCCCGACTAGACTTAGTGCAAATACATGGGAGTCCAGAGAAGCCACATAAAGCTTATTCTCGATCATAACCCCATCTAAAAACACGTTAAAATTGTGCAGCAGCAGGATTCCAGTCAAACTAGTGAATTTGGCGGTTTTGAGACATCATCTTTCATTGAAAAAAAAACTTTTTCATTTTGCCGACGCGCATGGCTACGGCGACGCGCGCGCATACCAGAAACCGGAGACTTTTTTTTTTTTGGCCTAAGACAACTCGTAAAAAACCCCCAAAAAAACCAGTTGCGAAAAGGGGGGGGGGGGGGGGGGGGGGCACGGGCCGGGTGTGCCCCCATCTGGATCCGCGCGTGTGCACAGACAGTTTAAGCCTCGACGTACCGAAACTTTATCATCTCGGTCAAGCGTAATGGGTGGTGTACTTCTGTGTTGTGTCAATGTCAGATACATAAGCCAATGGCAGATATGGAGAGCGAATGTTCAAATGGAATGGCGGCTAAATTGGGACATAAATGATATTACTGGTATGATAACGTACTTTATTAACGAATGAAATACAGGAACTTATATGTTCGAGTCTCAGCTCGTAAAAAAAGTAAATTTGTTTTTTTAATTGCTATTTTTATATCACTATAAAAGTTAATCACTTTTAAATGAGACATCGAACGAAAAATAAACATCGACTACGTTTAGTTAAGGAAGAAATTACTTTGCGGCACAACAGTAATAGGCTAGGCCTGAAACGTGATGACGTCACGCTTTGTTTAAGGTGGAGACGAGAGCTACCAGGCTTCCATAGGAAAATAAGGAAAGTGTATTTAATTAGTAAAAAATAAACTATTGAAACGATTTAAGCCCTAGTGCGTGGGTGTCTACCAGTACTTATACCAATAATGACGTATGTCCCAATTCAGCCGCAGTTTTGCCTTTATATCTGAGATTGACACATAAAGTGCACCACCCGTTATGCTTGACCGAAATAATGGTCGGTATCGGTGCCAAGGATAAAACTTTCCGTGTACAGGGTGAGTCAGAATGATCTGGACCCAACTTAAAGAACATTTAAGAATATGCAGCATTTATCAAAACAAATGCAAATGAGATATAATATAGGCTGGTATTTTGGACATTGGTGAACGATATGTTATCCACTGTACCATTTTGAAGAAAAGTGCTGGCAAAGAACACACGCTAAAACACTCTGACCTCGGTTCCATGGCTCAACAAATTTATTGAAATCGCGTACTGATGTGACTGCATTGTTTGAAATGCAGCCCAATCAGTAATGACAACATGTTTTTAATATTTTCTTTAATTTGGGTCCATATCATTCTGATCTACCCTGTAGGCCTCAGGTCAGTAACTTGATACCCTAGACTGATGATACTTACCAGTATGGTTTTCACGATCTCATTTCGGAGATGAATGCTCCAGTTGTATCTTATTAGGCCAAAAAAAAAATATTCGGTCTCTGGTCAGACCAAAGTTCCGGAATTGAAGCGGCGACGCGGATTTTTTTTTTTTCCTTTTTTTTTTCCTTCAAGCTTGGATTGTACGGACAAGTTGGGATACTATTTTGCTTTGTTGGTGTCCTCATGTACATTGGTGTCCTTCATAATTTGCCTTGGTGCTCTCGATCATTTGCCATGGTGCAATTTCCCATTCCTTGGTGCTCTTTGGTAAAAAAAAATTGAGGAGGTGCGGCAATAGAGGGCGCTGTTGGAGCTACCGCGGAACATTTTGGAAAAAAAAAAAGATTGACGCGCATGATTAAAATCGAAGCGCGCGCTGACCAGAGACCGACTTATTTTTTTTTGTTGGCCTTATGCTGCTCACCAGGTGTTTGAGTTTCCAATCAATCAAATAATAAAAAATTATCTAGAACAAACGGGAAATAAAATGAGGCGCTCTAATACATTTTGTCCTTGATGGATCAAAAACACGGACATTTGTTTTATTCACCGCCGAGTCAAAATGTTGGGATTTCTTTTCAAACATTTTTTTGGGAATAAATTTACACCTGGATTTTATTTTGATTACTTTCAAATTAAATTTTATCTCATTGGTGTTTTACAAACATTTTATTACAGTGACTTCATTAAGGAGGGGCTGGGGGAAGGGGAACGCCCCGATCGAGGTCTGCCCCCACTGTGCCCCTCCCTCCTCAGGTGTTTGGGGAGGGGCACAAGGGGGAGTTAAAACCCCATTGGGCGCCCCTCTAGAATATGAGGCTATTTATTAAAGTGCCCCCAATCCTTTACGTAAACAAAGTATGATGCCATTATGTCTCAAGTGTGATGTCATTTTCAAATTTAGATAGCTTATTTTGGCTAGCTTACCATGACACGGAGGAGTTTGACAGAATTCTATACCAGTGCGGCCATCCGGCGTCTGGATGTAGCACATCGGTCCTGCCTTATCACCCACGAAGCGGCAATAGTTCTCCATTAAATCTGTCAAATAATCATTTAAAAAAAATACGTCAATCGTTTACCATCCATCGAAATGTTCTTTTCACTTGTATCAATGGCAACACGCTACCGAGACGTTTGAGGGATATGTTGCAAATTGAAACATCAAATCCGAATTGAATAAATTCAATATCTTAGTTTGGGCATTATATGAATCTATCTTGATGTACTATTTTCAATAATTGAATCTTAAAAAGTGAATGGATTTAAATGCTATTCATGGGTTTCTTTGAAACGGCTCCACATTAAACAACTTCACATAATGTTTGATCAAACCTGTTAGAACAATTCTCTGATAATGTTCAGACAATGACGCATACTATAACATCTCTCTCATGTAAATTTTATTCCCTATTGTTTTTTTCTGACCAAAACTATTACTATTGAGCATATAAATATACGTCCTCAAAACGTGCCTACCAGTAAGTTATCTGTAATATGAACTTCTTATTAAAGAACACGATGTGTTAAGACTTTTTGTTGACATTTCAATTTGATTTCCCAACCACCAACCTGTGTCGGATCCGTTCTTGGGTCCGTACTCCCAGCCCGTCATGTTGGCCCAGGGTATGCAGTCGAAACAACTGGCCTCCCCAAAGGAGTTCTTGGGGCAGGCCTGCGAGGCCGTCCCATTGTACTCACGCGTGAAGACGTTAGCACAGTCCCACTGAGCTGTAACACCAAACAAAAAACAACGAAATGAATACATCGAGATACAGGGCGAGTCAAAAAAAGCGGAACCGAAAATTACATTTCATATTTTAAAGAAATATGCAGCACCAAACGTAATAATGACTGGAAAGCCAATTTCAAATACTAATTTTAGATGAAAATATTACTAAAATTGCTCAATCTGTTCAAAGAATATCACCATTTAAATATAATGACCCTAAAACCGCTTTCGTCCAAAAATGGCATTTCACGAATCGTCGTCACAATTGCCTTCAAACATCACCAGCATGGGCGTCGCGAGGGGGGGGGGGGGGGGCAAGGGGGAACTTGGCCGCCCCCCCCCCCCCCCCCCCAAAAATAAAAAAATTAAAAAAATTAAAAAAGGAGAAAAAAAGGAGAAAAAAGGGGGGAAATAAAAGAAAAAGAGGCGTGCAGTCATATTGCTGTAAACTTAATGGGTTGGGGGGGGGGGCAAATGTTCCTGCCCCCTCGAAAAAATGAAAATTGAGAATATGAGAATATGCTAAAAAAAGTACAGGGATTTCGGGGGAAAACGTGCTTTGCCCCCCGCTAGAAAAAAATCCTGGCGACGCCCATGATCACCAGCGATAAAACCTCACAATAAAAGTTAAAAATATTCAACAAAGTCTTTTTGAAGGCCCGTCTTAAAAAAAAAAGTGGATTTTATAAATCATTTTGTTTGCCCGACCAGGGTTGTTAATAAATATATTGTGTACTACAGTTGTTGGAACAAGTATTCTGTGTCATTTTCTTTGTTGTTCTAAACAGTCAAAATAACTTACTTTTTTTGGCGAAACAGGTTTTAGGGCAATTGCGTTTAAATGGTGATATTCTTTGAACGGATTGAGCAATTTCAGTATATTTTTCATCTAAAAGTAGCTTTTGAAATTGGCTTTTCAGTCATTATTATGTTTGGTGCTACATATTTTATAAAATATGAAATATAATTGTTGAGGTTTGGGTTCCACTTTTTGGGGCTCACACTGTATAAGTTCCCTAGCACTTGTTGAATTAAAAACAGTAATATGTGAGAATATTTAACAGGATTCAAATGGATTTATTGAAAGACCATAAGTTATAGTTTATCGATTGTTTCCTGAGAACAGCATGACGAGAAAGTTGGTTAACATTTAAACGCTAATTGTTTACACTAAAGTTCATGAAAAAACCATAAGAATGACCAAAATAAAGAAAAAATATAGAAAAATTACGAGAAGAATTTCGAGGACTGAAACAAGGTTTGTGGTGTTAAGATTTTTTTGTTTCGAATGCATTGACATCATTGTTTATATTTAGCACTTTTTTATTAAATAACATCTTGCATGGTTCACATTTTGTGTACACATGCACTATTATATTCAGCTTGTTGCATAAAATACAGGGTGATTAAAAAACAAAACGAAACCCAAATGTCGTGACTTTTGTGAATAGTGGTGTTCTGCATGTAGTATGTAAAATCTAGGATTATATGAAAGCCCAATTCATAAGCTTTCCTTAGTACTAGAATCATTGAAATCACTCATGTACTTTTCAAGTTACGGAATTTTAAACACAACCATCGTTTTAAAGTTCTGTCCACGGATCACAAAAAAGGTGTGCGTTCTTTCAGCAAACGAAAACAATTCACGCACATCCCTATTATGTGATTTGTTTTCGTTTAGCTGAAAGAACACTTACCTTTTTGTGATCCGTGGACAGAGCTTTAAAACGGTGGTTGTGTTTAAAATTCCGTAACTTGAAAAGTACATAAGTGATTTGAATGATTTTTGTACTAAAAGAAAGCTTATGAATAAGGCTTTCATATCCTAGATTTTGAAAGTGCTACATGCAGAACTTCACTAAAACAATGGTCCTGACATTTGGGTTTCGTTTGTTTTTAGTCACCCCGTATAATGAAATAACATCCAGCCACAAATTCTCGAAAAGCGACAACTCAGCCTGTGATTCTTGAATCTACATGGAAACCTTTTTAGTGCACAAACACCACCTTGCATTTCGGCAGTGATGTTGCAGTCCGAATTCTAACGGTACTGATATATTAATTTTAGCACGTATACAGCAAAGCATTTAGAATAATTATATGTGGACGACAAATATTTTTTGGTGGACGACAAATTTTTGGTTTTTTTTCTCCGTAAGTCGTTTGTATAATCAATCGAGTGGATTTTAGCTGAACACAGACAAACCAATTCTTGCATAAACGTATCATATTCCAAATGTCAGCTTTAATGTATACAAGTCATGTAGGCCTATGTCTGGGAGCCATGTAGCCGCCAAGCTCAGATTGTCTTGCCTCATCTAAATGAATCCATTTTAAAAAGAAGACAGATGAGAAGATGGACGAGGTTCGTGATGGAGAGTTCGAGGAGAGTCTACTACAGCTATGTCAGGGTGGATTAAGAGCATGATCCATCAAGACAACATTAACGGCCTGAAAAAAGACATTCAGGATGTCGAGAATAATTGATTCCCGGAAAATCACTTTCTAATTTAATGGTGTTCGACGTAGGCCTGTGCAGGTTTGTGGGGCCGAATGATTTTAATTAAATAGACAGTTCCCAATAATAAGTTGAATGTTGACTACATGACTTCATGATTGACCTTTTGATTTGTAAAGTTTTAAAAAATAAATAAATGGCAGAAAACGTTGATCTATCAACCATCAACATATAGCTTTTAAGGTATTAAAATAAGTCAATTAAAATTAGTCAGTTATATTCTAGCTCCATAAGATGCATGTAGGTTTTGTGTAGACAAAAACAGTTAAAACAGTAGGCCTATATCAAGACAGAAAAGCAGTACATTAATTCTTTAGTAAATATCTTGAGGTATTACAACAAATATCTTTTAAGCCACAAAATAAGTCAATAAAAATTAGTCAATTATATTCTAGCTCCTTAAGATGCATGTAGGGGTTGTGTCGACAAAAAAAAGTTAAAACAGTAGGCCTATTTTAAGACAGAAAAACGGTACATTAATTCTTTAGGAAATATCGTGAGGTATAACAACAAAAGAATCACTTAATGTGCAAGTCTTATCATCTAGAAGTCGGTTAATTTAAGGCCAATTCTAGCTGATGAGCTGTGGAATTCTTTAGAGCAACTTTGCAAGGAATTATTGCGTTGAACATAACGAGATATTCAACATTAACCTTTTATGTCGCCATTTTCACTTACATTTACTTTTCTATTGGCCTACCGAACGTTGTACAGGGTGAGTCAAAAACATGAATGCCAAATGTCAGGCCCATTGTTTTTTAATGAAGTTCTGCATGTAGCACTTTTAAAATCTCAGATATGAAAGCCCAATTCAAAAGCTTTCTTTCAGCACAAGAATCATTCGAATCACGCATGTACTTGTCAAGTCATGGAATTTAAACGCAACCACCGTTTTAAAGTTCTGTCCACGGATCACAAAAAGGGAAGTGTTCTTTCAGCAAAACCAAAACAAATAACATGGGGATGTGTGTGAATTGTCGTTTTGCTGAAAGAATGCACACCTGTTTTTGTGATTCGTGGACAGAACTTTAAAACGGTGGTTGTGTTTAATTTCGTAACTTGAAAAGTACGTGAGTGATTTGAATGATTCTTGTACTAAAAGAAAGCTTATAAATTGGGCTTTCATATCCTAGATTTGGAAAGTGTTACATGCGGTTTTTTTGACTCACCCTGTATGTTGAAAATTTCCGTATAAGCCACATTCGTAATAATCGTCTCTCAGAACTTTTTCCCTTTTATAGGCCTATGCTGAACGTTATTGATGTCTATATTAAACATATAAATTATTCTCTTTGTCCCAAATTTGACAGCATGGAAATAACATTGGTCTCGTTTAATAGCATTGCATTAACTATTAACTTATCAGAACTCATTAGATATACATTTTGCTCCTGCAGGCTTTTGTGTCTTACCATTCGTCATACATGTTCTTTTATTTATCATTCATTGTCATCATAAAGGCAAATAAATGTTTCACATGTTTCAAAATCTAATTTCACTAAAACAAATTGTTTGGGCGCGGCGTTGCAAAACGGTGCACTCATCAAGTGATAGAATGTAAAAACATTGCTGTGTATAATTATCACCGCTGTTTTTTGTTTTTTTTGGGTTTTTTTTTGCAGTCTGTTTTCATTTGGAAACTTAATACACAACCACATGGCAGTGCTATTAATTATTCGCTACATCGGTGCATGCATGGTTCTACTCAATAGTGCTTAGTACATCTTATAAATGTTCCCCTTAAAGGGAGCCGCGGACATGTTTGACCTTTCTATAGAAACCATAACTATTAACGACCATAAAAATGATTTAAAGGACAGGACATATATTCGCGGGTCGGAAAATGTTGCCGAGTATCCTGAAGACAATGTTGTTTTCAAAGTGGATGTTGTGTGGTCTCGCGCATGGGTCGTGTTCACGAGTCGGCCATATTGAATTGAAAGTTAGGTAAAATCTTAAATTTCAGAACTTGCGAAGAGAAATGAAAGCAAGTTTATGTGTAATATATTCCATTTAATTTAAAATTTGTAATTAAACATCAGTAAAATAAGGCTGCATGTACTTGCATGGTCTGGCGCCATCCCATTCAACAGTTAACAATTAATGAAATACATTCAGGGAACTCGACAAAAATGGCCAACTCATGAATAAGGCCCATGGTGCCAACTCAGCTCCTGTGCACTGCGCATGTGTATCTCTTGGAATGTGATTAGTGTAAAAGTGGTGTCATAAAGTGTTTAGAAATAAGATGCTTAAATTTAGGGTTGCTCCTACTTGCACGTCTGTGGCCCGTTCGTATGACGTCACAGGGGCACATCGTCCAAATTTACGTGGGAATGATTGAAACGTTTTTAAATTGTCTAAACTGACTTTAATCTAGGTAGGACTACCTAAACATATCGTTTTACACAGTTGAATCACAAACTAACAGCGCCTTTGGTGCGATTCATATTTTCATAAGGTTTTGGATTTATGGCACAG